ACATTATGTGAGACTAAAGTGAAGAAAAAAGAGGTCAGAAGAAATAGAGGTAAAGGAGGAAGGAGAGTAATAGCAGGACATTGCATGTTATAGTTTTGATGACTGCAAGAAGAGATGGAATCCCGTACTCACTTATCGAGTGTGAAACGAGCTAAACTACACACAAATAATTTTAGTTAGAATTAGATAACAAATTTTTAAAACAGTTCTGGAATGAAGATGAATTCTATAAGGTTAGACAAGGCAAACCAATGTATATGTCACATGAAAACACAGCAAAGATACCGTAATATTGCAAACAAATCAGTATAAGCTGTTAAATGTATAAACAAAGCATAATATATTTATTTTGACCAACCTCATTTCGTTGAGTTTGATTTATAACAAGAGATACCTCATTTCTCAATGATTCACTAAGGTGTAGAGCGTTGCAAAAAATTAATAAAATACTTAATAAAATATGTAATCAGAGTTATGGTGAGAACTTCTCCTAGTAAATATTTTCATTACTCAATTGTATATTTCAAAAATTTAAACAAAAAACTCTATATAAGTTTCGTAGTACACATTCACAAAGGTGACAATAACCTCGAATTGATCAACCAAATGGAAAATCCATCACAGTTCAGTAATCGAAGGTTATAAAATAGAGCAAGAAATTCGTGCGTACCCGTCAGGTTGTCGGCGTATATTTCAAGTAGATAAATAGAAGAATAAAAAAAGAAATCAACATATATTAACATGACAATGATATATACTTTAAGTGTTTCAATAATAATGCCGACAGTTGCTTTTAACATTATGTATATAATATTCATGCATATTCCATATATAAATTGAATGATTTGTCTAGGGGTTCTGGAATTCAGAAAAATGTTAACACTATTCAAATAATAAAAAAATGTTAGAATGCAATTCCTAGGTATCGGTCAGATGGTTTTTTTTATTAGATGCTCATAGCCCCTTGAAAAATATATATGAAATAAGTACATCAATCTAACAAAATATGTACGTGTGTGTTCAGTATTATGAAAGGACACGTTTCGTTTTAGATTAAATTGTAGATCTTGACAATTAAACAAATTTGTGTTAATTGTGTAGGTCAAATATTTTCGTGTGAGTGACTAGGCAACAACAATTCACTTTTTCAAGTACATGCAATATCACGGTGATAGGGCGATTACCACAACCCCCCGCGCAACGCCAAAATATCTTACTTCTGTCCGAGAAAGTTAATACTTGGTTTAAGAAATTTAAGAATCGCGAGTCTAAATATTAAGATTATATCCATATTATGGTCCTGATGAAACTTATACTACTTATGCATTGTAAAACATATCAATATTATAATCTGAGAAAGTAAGTATGATAGGATAAAGAAGAAGACCTTTTAACTTTAGCCTGAAAAAGGGTTGCAAGAGAAAGTCTTAAAAAATATTGCACCCTCTTATAATTGAAGAATCAGAAGAGCGAAATATCACGGAACAAATGAAAGTGTAGTACGCAAGAAAAACGTTACACTTTGAAATTAGTCAGTAAGACAGAAGCAACATATTGCAAAATCATTCGTATATGTCTGTATGGTTTCCAAAGAAAATACACAATATATATTCACTTATCTGCTACTGAAATGATTAAAGCACCATCCCAATGCACAAGTGAAAATATTGTTGTCCCGTGGGCAAATTAATCATAAGTTTAGTTTGGAATGTTTTTGTTTGGTTTTTATTGTGTCTAGAGAAAGATTTTGGAACATCACATCTCAGTCTGATTAATTATCCGCGTAAAGCGATTGATAATTCATACAGTTGTTAACTAACATATAACGAAGCAGTTTCTTAAGCTTCATGTCTTCCATTGGAAATATTGAAGGTATGTAATATACATATTTTCCTCAAAATAATTCATGAATATATCCAAATACCTCCTTTAAATATGGTTGATCAGCTTGTATTTAATTGTAATTATCTCAGGCATATATTAATTTTTAGTGCAAATGATGAATTTTTTCAGGGTAAAAATTAATTTTTCCTTTCCCATTTCGATTTTTTAAAGGGTTTTTTTAAACCCTTTGGGGTTTACAGAAATGTATTTTTTTTATATATTTTCATTAAAAATCATATGTTTTAAGAAAACCCCAAATTTTACTCATTTATTTTACATACAGAAATTTCTTTGTAAGAAGGGCACTAAAATTTAATTTAAAACAATAATGATTTTTTTAAAACGGTCTTTTCTTTATTCGATGAAATTTTATAAATTTTAAATTTTTTTTTTTTGATACTATACAGTACACGCATATAGTGATAAGATGCTCTTTTGAGTACACACACCGCGGAAGAAGGTATTTAACGCCGAAAGTATTTTGGTATTTGTACTTTAGCACTGTATGAACGTTTATTTTCTTCCAATTTATTGTTATTCTGTATTTGTAAAAGTTATTGGAATTAAATGAAATTTTGTGAAATGAGATGTGTAAGTATGTTTGAACATAATTTTGTAAATATATGTACTAAAATAAAAAATGAGAGCATTTTTGGCTACCATTTAAAATATCCCTCGTATGTTTTACCAGATAGCAATATATCCTTTCAAACCGCTGCATGAGCTTTGATGCCAACAGTTTTAAATGTTGTAAATTGAAAATACCTGTCAAGCCGGTGTTAGGGGCATGAAGGGTGTTGCACGTCTCATTATCTCTCATGTGCAGACTTTATCAAACCAAGTCTACAATATTATTTTTAATTTTTTTGGTTTGGATTTAATTTCTTTGAGGGATCAAAATTTCTCCAATATTTTTACAAAGATCCTCAATTTGAAATCTTTTATAAAAAGTAAAATTTTATTTCCATCCATTGTTTTCTCGTTTTTAGGCACACGGCATTCTTTTACTACGAGAACCATACGCCGCTTATTCGTGAAATGGCACAAAATGTCGCCTATGAAAATTCCATGATAACCGCCATATTTAAACATATCGTTTTAAATTCCTAATTCAATATTGTTTTTAAATGTTAAATTGGGGCTTAAGTCGGTGCTAGGGTGGTGGACGGTAAATTTGCACTTTCTAGTACCATAAACAGGCTCAAATCGAAACTCGAGCCTTCAACATTTCTAATTTTGCCGTGTCCCCATTCTTTAGAGATTCCTGTTTTTCTCTATTTAGCTATAAAAATAAAAGAGACCGGCCTACCGGAAAGCCGGTGTTCAAACCTTAATTCATCAAATGTACATTTATGAAACTAAAACCTTAAAAATCGTCAAAGCGATACCTTGGATTTCTTAACTACAAATAAATGCACAATCTTTACGTGTGTCATTCTTGTGTGACCTTGACCTTTGAACAGGAGACTATGCGCTACAAATAAACATCGAGTCTAACACATTTATTCCAAATTGCTATATAATACATTAATTTCATGAATCACAAAATTGTTTACCAGCTACACCTTTGAAAAGAAAAAATTAGATCATGATTTTGTAATATAAATGTACCCTTGACCTTTGAATAAGTATAATGATTCTTGCACGCGTTACATCGTCATTATATACTACAAATTTACTCATAGTGAATTTTGAATTTATGCAAGATGTGTTGGACTAATAAATAAAAAATTGGTCAACGGAACAAAGGTCTAGGTCATTCATGAGTGTCAAAAATCATTATTCGATGATGCATGATATTCATGTCCTGTCCATGTCTTTTTGTCAATTAGTGACATAATTTATAATAACTTTGTTTTTTATAACAAATTGTAATGAGTTTTTAGTTCAACTAGCTTCTTGATAAAGGTCACGCTAGGTTTATAGTTTCATAAAAATGCATTGATGGTCATATCAATTCAATCATCTATGAATGGACTTTGGGGTCCGCATGGCGCCTTGCCACTGGTTCTAGTTGCTGAGTCGTGTGGGGTGCGTTCATTGAACACCTTTCCTTGTTGTTCTTGTTTGTCATATTTGAAATAACTAGGCATATTTCTTTAGGACAATAGGAAACTTGTAACATGCAAACGCCATGTCAAGATTTTAAAAGGTAAAGATTATACTTGAATGCCACATAATTCACTGATGGTTGTGTGGGCTGGTAATATTTTTGAAATTCTGTCATGGATGCTCTTTGAAATTGGGCTTGCTGAGAAAGTTTGTTAATGTTTCTTTATGCTTGTCCTTTAATAGTATTTGTCTGTTTCTAGTGGCAGTTTTTGTTTGTTTGTTTGTTTGGTTATTCTTTGTTGTTCTGTTTTGGAGGGGCCGGTGGGGGGGGCATACCACAATGAATTTTTTTAAAAACATTATATTTTGATTTTTGTTTTAATAATAAATACCTGAAATTCGGGATACCTCCGTCACATATTGTGAGAAAGAATTAAAAAAAAAAATATTTTACTTATTGGAAATCTTCTACAATCATGAATGTCAGGTAAATGTGTGTCTACGTACTAAGTATTATTATTAAATAACTAAAACTCGTTCATACATGTTTGTGCTTATTTCAAAGCAATTCAGTACATGAATACACACAGAAGTTGTTATTACTTACATTACATACAGAATAACCGGAATTAAATGTTCCATATTTTAAATGAAAGTTTTTTTTTTATTTTGTCAAATTGTTTGTGATGCAACTAAATATTATGTAATTGAATGTAGTAAAAGAAAATTACGCTTATCAAACTTCCAAATTGTCTTAATTCGAAAAGCGGAATCTAGGCTTCTCATTGTTTTCTTTTAGTTCCTTATCAGTTACTAATTATTTATTCTTATGCAGTGGTTTGCCTGCCCGTGCTCTGCCTTATGCCCTGTCCTATTTTTCTTTGGGGTCCTCCTGGGCTCCCTTTTTCCGCGGCGCTTTGGGTTGATGGGCCCGGTTGAGGGGCTGCGTCATTTTAAAAGCCGCCTTACCTTGTTCGATTCTTGTTATTTCATTTCTCATTCAAAGACCGATGCTATGGTACAAAAGAATGCCACTTCTGTTTCAAAAATAAAATAAATTTGTCAAAACAATGGATGTAATCAATGCGTTCTGAATTTTGTATAATTTTTGTTGGATTTTCATCCCGGTTTTCTGCTCTCAAGTTCTGTTAAGTCTAAACATCGGTTAAACCTTTGTGTCTCTATCTGACCAAATGTACAGAAGACACTCGAAGAAAAAGCAGCAAAAGATATAAGCAATAAAACAAAAATATAATTGTACAAAACATATATATTTATACTAAATGGTTTAGCAAAAGATTTAAATACACTTTTTATCTGAATCGTATATACAAACGTTAATGCTCCTCTATCCAATAAATTCAAAATAATATTCGTAACTAAAAATTTCACATGATTATACGCTAATGTTTATGAAAGTTTTCTGTCATCTACATTGATTTGATTTTGCTTTTAAAGTATGCAAATAATATTATCATTATGAACTCATTATTTTTTTAATGCAACAGTACTTTCTTAAATGATATTTTTGAACAAGTGCCACTACTTGAACAAATATCAATTATGAAGATGAAAATCTTTCATAAACTCCAGATGCTATTGGGCCGACAACAGGAATAAGGCTGAGAAATGTTTTAAGCACTGTTTCTTTCATAGCAGGTTTTTGGGCAACAATAGTGGGAGAACGGCGTTGAGATTTGCGAAGCTTTGAAATGACATCATCTTTCTCTTTTATCTTTCTTTCTAGATCCATTTTGCCTTTCTCCCAATCTTCAAGAGAACTTGCATACTTTTCTTCCAGTTCTTTTTGTTCCTTCTTTCTCTCAGATGAAAGTTCATCTTTATAATCTTCCCATTTTTCTGCCTCAGATTGTTTTCTCAAATCTTCTTTTTGAACTAGTTCACCTTTTCTCTGCTCGATCATTCCCTGTTGTTTCTGAATTTCAGCTGAATGAAAGAAGTACATTTTAAAAGTCTTCCTCTAAAGAATTGATACTTTAGTGTAAAAATGTTATTAGTAAGGAAGTTGAGAAAAAAAATCTATTTCGATTTCAGCCTCTGAGAGTGTGTTAAAACACCGATTTAGCTACTTATGATATATAAAATTTAAATTTAACATGTTCGTATTTCGCACTAAGACTTTATCTTAAATGATCATTGATATCATATATGATTATTGTTTGACCATATAAACTTAAATACATTCAATATTTGATTTCTTAGTGTATATATATTTTGATATATACTACTCAACTTTTGCAAAGCACCATATGTTTGAGTGTGATTTTTATTTTTTATTTTTTTTTTATTTTTTTTTGGGGGGGGGGGGGTGATAATTTTGTAAACACCGTGCAAAAATTTTTAAATGTTAATTAACTGTTTTATCAATTTATCTGAAGGACGAATTTAACCCTATAAATGCGTTTAAACTGATTTTGTGCTAATAAAAGCTTGGCAGCGGCTTCTAATACTCCCTATTAGGTTTCTTATCGTGTTGACGGGTTTCGCTGCCCATTCTTTGACCAATATGGCTCCAAGCTCTTGAATTGTTATATGTTACAGCGGACGACTGAAATTTTTACCTAAAAGACTATTTCAATGGGGTTCTATTTGATTAAAATCAAATAGCGAGTGGCCCTCTTTGGGTCAAAATTAAAAATCCCTTTAGGAGTCCCGGGGTTTAATGAAATGATCGGAAATGCTTTCCTTTATAAAAATTAAAACCCGGTTGTCTTTAAAAATATCGTTTTTGTATCGCTGACCCTTAATGTGGGCCCCTGTTAAGCACAACCAGGTCGGTTCGTCCATTCCAGCTGATGCCTTTCCACACCAAAACTGATCAACCTCCGTAGCGGTCATACACAGCAAAAATTGCAGTCTGAAACCGTTCAACACGTCTTCTCCAAGACTCTAGCTCGCCTATCTGTGAAGTCTAGGCAGAACCTGGACTCATCAGAGAACAGAATTTGTATCCAGTTTAGCACCGTGTAAGCTCCGTGGTCCATTCTAAACGGGCCTGGCGATGTTGACGCGTCAAGGGGATACGTACTTCGTACCGTCTGCATGGAAACACGGACCACCGCAGCATGTGCAATGTCATTTCGAAGAAAAGTTGCTGTCGGAAACCTTGCACGACGTCCCTAAACGACCAAAAACCGATCCTGAGTTGGTGTCGTGACCCTTTGACGCCCTCCAGCATGCATGCCTCCTTGCGGATGTACCATGTAGCTGGTATCTTTCCTAGGCTTTGGTCATGATGGTGTTGAGTACACCAAGCGCCGCATCAACCTGACGGAAGGTGGCCCTTGCTGCACCATCCCTTCGGCCCTCCATTACTCTGCTTCTTTAAAATGCCACCTAATGTAGGCACTTGCCATATCAAAGTGACAGATGTAAGATGTGTAAGCTACTGAATGACAATAGGCCAGTAATGTCGCCGTATAACAAAAGACGTGATTGTGCACCCCATTAAAACATGACAATATTGGAGTACATGCTTTCAATGCTACCTTGACGAATTGTAACGGATTAGTCAACACGGATTCATGTCAGGGGACTATCTCAAAACATTTCTGAATAAGAATTTTTAAAATTTGGGAAGGAAACTGTTTTATACTTGTGATAAAATAAAAATTAATTTATGGTGCTTAGCAAAAGTTGAGTAGTATATTACAAAAGTATTTCATTTTACAAAAACACATGTTGGCGGCAGTGGCGCAATCAAAAAGAGTTACTGACGTCAACGTCATGATAACGTACAACGTGTGCTTCAACGTTACACATTCATGACCGTTACTGCTTCTCAGAGTAATTAAAGTGAAAAAAGAGGGATTTATATACCTTTTATTTCTAATTCACTAAGGTTTGTCTTTTCCAATATTTCTTCATCTTGTTCCCGATATCTGTTTTCAAACTCTAGACCACTCATATGCACCTAAAAATATCTTATTCTCTTATTCATTATCTAATTTGAATAAGTTTACATAAGAAAGCATTTTTAACTCAAAAAGAATAAAGTGGACGTAAATTTTGCTTTGATAATAAAGCTCTTTAAATCAGTCACTAGTAGAGGTATTTTCATTATGCAATACAAGTCTTATTGTCTACTAAGAATCTTGAAAGTAAAAGAAATGTAAAGTAGCTCACAATATATGAGTTGACTCCTGGTAGTCTTTCTTTGATATTTTTCCTTAGTCCAGCAAAATCCTCTCTGTATGTTTTATAGCCCCCTTGTTCAAAATACGTTCCTTTGTCAACTTTTGGTTTTATCAATATGTCATACATACATTGCAGTTCTTGGAAACAGGTCTTTTGTAGGAATATCTTATTTTCCTTTACGGTTTGTATTTTGAATGAATCCATTTCTTTCTAAAAAGTATAGTACATTTATATTAAGATCTACGGAAATAAAACAAAAGAAGATATAAAGCGTAAATTAGATACTGCTATAAAATATGTGATATTTGAACCGCCTTTTCAAATTTCACGACCTTTATTATTAAGAATTGTCATTTATGCAAGATTTTCATAGTCAAACAATTGGTCATTCTAAAGATTAGTCACAATGATGTAATGTAGAAAATTATCCTACAAAATTCGTTCCCATATATATACATGTATATTCAAACAGTATAAAATGGAGTAAAAATAAATATTTCGCTGAAGTCAAATTGAAAACATTGTATGTTGATTGCACATCATTACCTTACATTGATCAAAAACTGTATAAATTTTCTTGGAGTCAAATATGTCTACTTAACGAGGGCAAATATATACTGTAGCTTTGATGACCTGTATGTCGTGTTGAGAATATTGAACATTTATAAGGAATATTAAATCAACAAAATTATTAAAAATTAAAGTTTACTTCTGCGATCTTTTGAAATACTTGTTTATCATCTAGCACGGCTTTCTTGCGAAACTGTTTGAGTGCATCCCTCTGAATTTGTTTGTATTTTAGTTCGAAATCATCAGGCAATGGAATTCCCAAAGATTCTATCTCCTTTTTACACATTCCTACAGCTTTCCTGACAGCAATTTCATTTTCCTTTATTGCCATTATTGTCAAGGCATCATCAATGCACGGCATCTCCCCATTTGCTAATGACACAATGTACCTTTCAGTCAAAGAGGCAAACACTGAAATAGATGTTGTTTTATCTAAACTATGAATATATGTATAAATTTTGAAACATTTTTAGAAAAGATAAACTCTTATTCACGTAATTATCTTGAAACTTTTCCTTTCTTTATAAAAAATGTATGTTTCGTGTTTACAAAAAAAGAGATTTAAATAGCAAATACATCCACATGTTTCCTTGGAAACTGTAACAGAAATCAAAACCTGTGTCGTATCCTTTATTTTGTATAAAAACGACGCCAACAACGAAGGAAAGGCGTATTTTTTAGAATATATTTTTAATATTTTTTCTGTTGTTGATGGTGGCTAAGAACTGAAATATATATTAATATGTTCCGCATTTTCCCAATGAATCTGATACATATCACTTGTAAATTCACTTTGAAAAACATCTGTGATATACGAACTCCAGCCAGAGGAAAATTAGAAAATTGCAAAAGCTTTACAGCTTTAATGAGCTATAGTTGTGTGAAATGGTCTGTAAGTGATTTAGGTTCTGTGCAACTCTTCAATTGTTCGCTTGGTTTGATACTTCGATAGTTAATATGTACATTTTCTCAAATATAAGAATGGTGCATTCTGTTTTTAATAATAATCTTTGTAGGAATTTTACGGATAACCCTCGTTTGTCATCTTGTTGTCATACTCCAAGAACAAGTTATCTTTAAAAGCAAGTTCGTTTTTTTTTATTTATTTTATTTTTTGTTGTTGTTGATTTTATTGTTGATTTTAAACAAAACTGTGCTCTTCCATGATACTACAGTGTATGCTTAATAGTGATTTTTCATTAAACTCAATTCTTTTAACAACTATCTAATTGCAAAAAAAGCAAAAGTTTTAAATTAATGTCAATTAAACATATTATATATCATGTAAATTTGTTTATATGAAAGCTGCCGTGATAAGTGATACACGGATAATTCAAATAACAATGTAAAAGGAATAAAAGAACGTGTGCGTTTACCTTAAAGATATTATGTTCGTCGGTAAATATTATTGGTAAATATACAGGTAAAATGATACAAAGGATACGAGAGTGTCTTCAAAAGATTGTGATCAATAACTCCAATGCAGTTATACGCAAATGTTCCACTTAGAAGTGTAGCTAGACATAGGATAGCGTTGTCATTACCTTCATCGCCCTAAAATGTTGTTTTTTTAATATATTGTGATGTTCTTTGGAAAAAAAACTATATTCATGACAAAAAAACTAAAATGAATATTGAATAGTTTTTAAAATACATTTTATGTTTTAACGCTGTACTAAAATAAACATGCTCGTACAATTCAACTCTGAATACTGTATCTATATACCTTTTTTATCGAAACTTAAAACTTGTAATAAACAAAATCTATTTACACGTTTTTTTATCCGGGCATTTTGATGTTTAGCAATTATTTTCTGTATGATTGAATATATGTTACTTATAGTAAGGACGATAATATCAATATGATCATTCAAATAAGTAATTGCTAATGGTAATTCATGATCTTTTTTTCAGGTTTCAAGCAGTTCCATTAAAATCTTTAAGCGTTATGGATTATGAGTGTTGTTATTGATGTTGTTGGTTTTATTTGCAAGTCAATATCATTTGGTAGTAACCACATGTTTGTAAAAAATATAAAAATAACTTAAACATGTGTATATTAATTTACCTTCTTAACATCGCCAATTCCTTCGGTGTCAATAAGCATCAGAACCTCATCTTTTCGTTCTGGATGTTCCAAACACCACACCCACAACCCTTTTGTCGTTGCGGCTGTTGTATTTCCAAGAGGAAATCCTTTCACATATAGATATATTGATAAAATACCACAGGTGTTAGGTCACATTTATTTGATTCTATGAATAAATTGTCTATACTGTTGCATGTTTTCCATACAAGATGAGTTTTTAAGAAATAAAATGTCACCAAAGGATATTTATAAGAAATAAAATAAGAAGAAATTAAAATATGACAGGACGTAGAGTTCGAGCCTATGAGTTCAAATAAATAAATGCTTTCATCTTTAAGTTACCAATTAAGCCATAACAGTAGTAATACACATAAATGATTAGAACTAAACTGACTTTGTATAATTTATATATATTTTACGTTTCCGATAACGATTAATAATGCAGAGATTTAACCATTATTTGAATTTCACCAGAAACGTACATACTTTGTTATCACTCTCAGACTATACATTCATACTAAAATCACAAACAACCTTGTGAGGAGGCCATTTGAGTAATTTTATAGAATAAACTCATGGATTATCTATTTGTTTACATAGCTAAATAGATTAAAAAAGAAATGTTGTTGAAATGTAGATTTTTCAGTCGAACACAATAGTTTTTAAATTATTATGTGGGGGTATTGGTCTTGGGCATGACACATCTTCTCATCATGCACATTTGTGTCAAGTTGTTGAAATTTCTCTTGATGCATGGCAGAGTTATGGATCAGAGAAGAACTGCTGACCTTTGACATATAAGTGTGACATTGACCGACATACTGTTTTTCATCATGCATAACATTTGTGCTAAAATATTTCATTATCACTTGATTAACGACACAGTTATTGACCGCACAGAATTTACGTACACAGACACGAACAATGGTAACACTATGTGTCGCCTTTGTTATTATCATGTCCCCCTTGTCATTATCATGACAAGGGGGGGGGGGTTAAAATGTCTTTTGCATGATTCGAACCAGGGTCTCTACACTTACGAAACAAACACCACGTTAAACTGTTTGTATGCTAAAATATAAGAATTCTCTTTACACCTATATGACAATATTGTTGTTAACTTATAAAGAATAGCGAAAGCAGACCATAGGAATGTTTCATATCCACATGGAAAAAAAAACACAACAAGATAAAAGTTATCTTCAATAACAACATAATTAAAGCAGATGATAACGAATGATACTCATAATATGAAAAAGTAATAACTTGGATCTTGTGTGAAATAGTTTCGGGTTTATAAGGTATGATAATATCATTCAATAGGAAAAAGAATGGAATTCATGTACCCCGTTTGACGCCAGCCAATCTATTCATTAGGTAGGATTTCCCAGTCCTGTATGGCCCTGCTATCGTAATGATATTAACAGTGTCCTCGATGGTCGCAATTTCTTCCATAACGTCCGAACAGATTGATAATCCACCGGTCTTGTCATTCCGGATAAAACAAAGAGGACCTTGAAAAACTTTCAAGTTTCCATATTTTGACCTACACAAAGATATTGAAACACTGCATGTTCTTTGTTCTAAAACATTGAAAATGAACGCTCAATCTTCATTGAAAGAATATAAGGATACTTGGTATTTATTACAATATTCAAAAGAGATAATATGGCAAAAATATTTTTGATACAATAATATGAATATCCATAAACAATATTTTTGAAAGAAAACAAAACAAAGAGCTCGAGTGAAACTAAAACATTCAAGACAACGCGGACCTTAATGTATAGTAATAAGTAACAGTAAGATAGTTGAGTATCGCAATTTAAAGATAACTTGTAGAAAATGAAATGTACACATCATTCGTCTGAGATATTCCTTTAGAAAACGTTGAAAGGCTTGAATACATAAAAACAGGTAATTGGGTCATATTTAATCGTGCTAATTTTAAGCCCAGAGGAGCAATTTTCAAGGACCAATATGATGCTACATTGTAATTTTACCTATTCCCTCGGCAATTACCTATTCCCTCGGCAATTTAGTTTTCGTGATAAACAATTTTAACACATGCTTTTATGTACATCTATAAAAAAGCTGACCCCAACACCTACACTTTATATCTTCTTGTTTATATTTATAAGGTTATGCAATATTCAAAAAGAACTTAACTCCGGCCAAAAAGATCAACAAGACAAGGTTACATAGTCATAGCCTTTCCTTAGACGGGTTTTCCGTTATATATCTATGTGAACGTTGTGATTCTAAAGGCGGGGATAATTTGACTTCAAGGACATTGAAGATTTATGTTAAAAGACTATGTCCTATATACATATTTCGTAAATAAAGTAACCCCAAGGGCGTGCCAATTGTCACTGCTTTCTAGGTACTCTTACATAAAAAATGAAATATATGAAAACAAATTTTAACCTGTATCATATCCAACAAAATCAATATGTTATTCAAATGATAACATTTGCTGTGAAAGACATAACACATCAGTTACTTATGGTGACAACAGACACTTTCCGTGGTACTCACATAAATGTCATTTGAACCAACTTATTTTAGTAATAATTGTTATTTATTTAATCTAAGTGCATTAAATGTCGTTGATCATCATAAAAATTACATATTTGAAAAAAATGCCTTTGTAAATGATTGTTTTTTAATAAAAATCCTAAAATTTTAAATCGTCATATCAAAGTCATTTTTTATTTTTTTGTCATCAAACTTTTGGAAAATAAACATACTTATAATATCTGGGGAACCGTGTCTCAAATTTTTTCTATCTTTTCTCAAAAAAATATTACGTAACGTCAAACATTTTATGCGTCTTTTTTCACCATACATATTACGTAATTAAAGATAATTAAGTTGCTGATTGAGCAAACAAAAATCCCTGACACGGTTCCCTCCGTAAATGAATTCCCTTTCATGTGCTTTAAACCGCATGTTAATTGCTTGATTATTAAAAAAGTTATGCCGATTCAAAGTTAGTCCGACCCGCATCAAACGAAGTGTCATAAATCGGCTGTTCTCTCTCGGACCCCTACGTTTCACGCTAAATAATTGCATAAAACAAATACACAAATATCGCACACAAGAGGGTCACAAGTTGCGGTAACATACTCTAACAACATTTTATGACCCAGTGACATCTGACCAATTAAAAAGTTGCTGATTAATATCAGTTTATAACAGAAATATCTTCAAATCTTAACGTGATTTACCGTCCGTCTGGTATCGGTCGCACATGTCACGTGACTCTCGGTAAAATTTGAGGCACTCGGTGGGGGGAAATGGAACGCATTTGCGCACCGCTAGCGGGGTATTAAATTGTTTCACTTTTGAAGTTTATTATTATTACCATCAGCATTATTATTATATTATACCAGTGTCACGCTGTGTATTCGTTTATGAAATTCCGTTAAAATATAAATTAAAATAACAAAAAAACTGAGCTTCTGACGGTCTTTTAAAGTCCATGGTAGATGTACAAATAAGAACGGGATATTATATATTTTCTCCTCCAAATTGATATAAATGCTTCACATATTTTAATAGAAATAAAAGGTATCACTCGATCATTATGATCTGACCTTCTTGACTTCAATTATCATGAATATCATCTATGCATCTAAACACGGCATAGAGATCCAGTTTCAATAAACTCCATACTTTGTCCGTACTGTGTTCGATTTACTGGCGAACAACTTATTCAAAGCATTCACTGATAATATATTTTATTATCTTTTTTTATTGATTCATAGATAAATATTCATCCTTAGACAACCTAAAATGGTTTAGAAATTTGTCAGGGAAACCTTACCACAAGTCATATAGGCGTTCACATAAAAAATGTTGTGTGTTTTTGTTGTTGTTTTACTTGACATTGTTAGAAAACGAGGCTGAATGTAAAGCAAGCCCTTGAATCCGTACAAAAGTTCATAAACTCAATGTAATATCTGTCAGATTAACGGGACGGACAAATTATTTTCACACATTATGGATATTTTAGCAACTATATTTTTAATCAACCCCGTGGTCGTGCGATTTGCCGCTATGCTTAATTATTTATGTTTCATTCATTATGTTACGTACATTGGCCGACAATTTCTTATTTTATAAAAAAGGCTAAATAAAAGGTAGACGATATTCGGTATTTGTAAGATACATTGACCGATAATTCACGCATATATGGAACTACCGATTTCCCTCATTGGTGCCTCAACAGGTGACGGAGCGTTATCGATAATTGACAGATTATGCGAATAGCAGATAAAAATGGTACAGGTATCGTTTTAAAACGTTTAAAAACACATTTTTAGACTAACTGCTTCCAAAATTAAATCACGAATGTGTTCAGAAAAGATGGTTAAATCTACTAAGCAAAAAATCTCATTTTAAGTATTTTCAGTGAAAATTGACTCCGTTGTCACCTCAAATAACTAAAAATAAGATTATGTTAACAATCTAAAAGTAAAACAAACCTTATGAGTTTTAATAATTTATCTAGATTAAAACAAAACAGACTTATGTTGAACCATATGCAGATAAGCAACTTATTATAAGACTAAGATTCTACTTTTCATATCACATAGGAAGTATTGTAATATCTGCATCAATATTCAATATAGGACGAAACCAAAAAGGAAAGATGACCTACATAAGCCCTTGATTTTAGCAACTTTTAGCGTTTATCAAAAAGACGTTATTGTAGCAGTATGTTCATTTCTATATGCGATAGATGCAATAAGAATGTCCAACCTTATATCTATAGCCTCTCCTTGTTGCATCTCCTTTTTTCTCCAATCCTTAAACAATAACCATTTGTTTCATGTTTTAGAATTTTACAAACAGTGATTACAGTACAGAAATTTTAAAAAAAATTACGTTAAAACTAAAGATAATTTAAGCCCAAAGTCAGTTTAACTAACTAAATATATCAGTTTGCTAAAAAAAGTATAAGAGCATAAGGTAGAATTGTTTAAAGATATACTAATCTCATCCTTAAGTTAGATATTTTAATTAATTGATATCTATGAAATTCTTATTTAATATGTCTCATTTGAATAAAAGAATGAATACACTATGTATGGTAATCTGTGTTCCCAATTACAGGTCAAGTAAAGTTGGTCTTTTCTTCAAAAAAGGACATTTCTAATGACACTAAATAAAATATATTTTTATATAATGTTATCACCTATAGTGTGTAGAATTTCAACATAACATATCTACTTTTTGTGATATCAAAACATGTTAATTATATAGTTCATAGAATTTTTGTAGCAATTCTCAAAATTTTTTAATATCAAATTTAGGCATAGTATATCTTTAAGCTCGGATCATTAACTACTGATTTTGCTAAATAACTATCGAAGAAAGCACTTGTAGATGTGTAACAAATTCTCCTTCGAAAATTTAAGTTTTCGGTGAAAATTGCGGGAAATATATGTTACATTTTCTTACATTTATAGAAACACTTTTGAATAAACAGTTGTAACTAAGTTGCGGTCACTTCAAATTAAAAAAATCATGTGTTTAACATCAGAAAAGTGATAATTTTAGTCGTATATTTACGATAATTGATATTATATAATATGTTTTCAGGCTTATTTCAACTTAAATTAACCCCCAAAAGATATAATGGCTTTAAATCATAAAATTTGAAATTCGTTCATAAATCAACTAGTGCGCTTCAAATGGAAACATGTATAAATGTTTAAAGCTATTATGTATAAACTACTCGCTGGTAAAATCATAATCTATTTTATGCAGTTGTTGGCTCGATTTGAGTGAAAGCTTTCTAATTTGCGCAATAAAATTAATTATTCATGGGAAACGTGATTATCAAATTATTTGAAGTTTTGTACACGAGTTATTTGTCTAGACCTGCATACAGTTGTTGAAAAATCTTGAAAATATATTTTCGGTCCATCCATACCAAAAACACTTGAGTTTCTTTAATGTTAAACCAATGTATAAAACATAAGATTCATACCCTTTTTGTCAACAATTCTGGATTTAACGACCCTTTGGAATTCCTTGCTAATTTAAGACTCTCTTCACAATCAGACGACAAACCAGGATCACGTAATTTAACCTGAAATATAATGTATGCAGGAAAATTATGAAACAGTCAATCTTGTCTTGCATAGATCCCTGCACTTTATTGAAAATGTACACGTAAATGCACATATTTTCCAAGTGTTTATGCAATGCATTGACACTTGCTTACTCTTTATAATATCAAAATGTGTTTTAATATACATGTAATTATAATGATTCAAGAAAGTATTCTGATAATATTATATATTGTATAGAATATATATTAAATACTTGAATAATGACAAGAACAAAAGTACCCCATACCTATTATTAAAGGTTGAATACTACCAGAAAATCATGTACAATGTATAATCTTGACGAAGCAAGGCAGAAGACAGAGACTTAAACAAACTAAGAACTTAACAAACACATTATTGTATCTTCCATTCGTTTCGTCACATGCAAGCACAATGTCCAACAGTAAAATGGTAAGCTATGAATATGATTTTATGAAAATAATACGTTGCATAGTCTTGACAATAGTTTATTGAAAAGATATTTAGATATACTAGTTGATATTGTTAAATGTTATTGAACGATTTTTGTCAAATGATATAAAATAAATAACGTTATGCTTATAAAACTACTCAACTAAAGTAACTATATGAACAATATGAAAATACCATCTACCTCATTATCATTTATTGACAATATTTTTGAATTATAAAATGTTGTTGTTTTTTATAATAGAGAATGGAACAGAAGTACCTTTTCCTCAGCATCGCTCTTTTCAAACATTGCCTTTCTCTCTCTAACAGACATTCTCCTATCTGAAATTACATTGATACCTTTATAGATTAATCTTGAATCAATTGTTTGATTTAACGGTAATTACACTGGTTTGCGCTTATTTATACAAGTCAGAGAAGAGATGCACTCGCAACTTACTCGCAACATGTAAAAATATGCAAAATATAAGTAGTTGATGGTGTTATGGATAAAAACAGTTGACTTTCAAAAGAACGATTTGGTAAATATACTATACACTAGGAAAAGAGGACCATTCAAGACAAATACATGTCTGCTTTGAAATTAGTAAAAGAAAAACATGATGGTAAGTGCTTAACATTTAAAAGTGTTTTATACCCTGCTTCATCACGTAGTAAAAAACAATAGCGGTTTCTAGTCTAGTACTAACAGCTATCGGTTTTCAGTTTAGTCAATGTAACGTAAAATAGTAGTCATCCTAGGAGAAAATGCAAAAGTCTGCTTCACAATTTCTATTACAATTGAAGTGTTGTAAATCAAAAGTTGGCATCATATAACCTTGGCAAAATTGGTTAAATGTATCCATTAACAAGTAATTAATGTGTTTGATTTAAGAAGGAACCAAACATATTTGTAAAATTAATAGTCTGAAGCCAAAATCCAACTTGACCTGATTCCATTTTGTTTAGTTTGTTCACCAAAAATCATTACTATTCATTGCCTTGTTAAGAGTAATTTTCTGGAAACCATGTATTTTGTAAAAGAAAACAAAGAGAAAAATGGTCAAAATTGTGTAAAGAAAAGTGGTCTGAAGAAATCTTTGAACTTGACCAATAACAATCCCAAGGCCTCAATATTAGCTTTATATATATTAAGTTTGTGGTGACAATATCTTATTCACAGTCTAGTTAACATCTAGAATCAATGTTTCTAATGTTGGTAACGATGAACAACTTGACCTCGACCCTAGGGGAACTTAAAGAACTCCCATGAAAGATCTCTACAAAAGTTTGATATATACCAATATTTTTACGATATGTCATTCCTAACGCAAGATATTGTCCGGATGCCATTTACTATTTTAAGTAACAATGAGATTGATCTTGATCCCAGGTGGTAAAAGGCAATCAAAACCGGTGTTTTCACATAAGATTGTTTAATACCAATTTTAACTACAATAACTCATTCCAAACTTTAGTTACTGGCCGTAGACCATGAAGTGGACAGACCGACCGACAAACAGACTTCTATATACCCACCCTCCTTAACTTTGTTTCTCTGTGAATTTAATAAGAACTGCAAATGTTTAGATAGAAGGGTAAAGAAAAAGTATATATAAGGATGTTACGCTCTAACAATTTTAAGCTAACACATCGTTAACAACATCTCATAGTACTTTGTAACCAAAGTAATGTATAAAATATATTTATTTTACATAATATCTTGGCTTTACTTCTACATTTTTATTTCATTTACAATATTGCATTTCAAACCTTACCAAGTTAAGATTCAGCCTTTCACTTTTATAATATAAGTCCAAATATTGTCATGAATAATGTCACAAAAATGTCAAAATATATTACCGAAACTGATTTTTCTGCATAATTTAGGTAAAATAGTTGCAAAAAACACATCTTATCAGGACGTGTACTACTAATTTGTCTTTTATATATGTATATTATGTTTTCTTATTAAATTTGTATAAACTATGTACATAGCAATAGTTATTTATAATAAAAGTTCACCTGCATTGTCAGCAATTAAACTTCACCGAATTGAAAATTGAAGACTATAATTATCTATGAAGACAAATATCGATCAATCGATTGATTGATTGATTGATTTATTGATTCATCCATTCATTTATTCAACAGATGCTACATTAAAAACGTTTTATTTTTACTTCGCACAATATCAACCGGCCACTCACAACAAAAACTTATTTGCATATGTGCAGCTTCTTAAGTGTTAGATAAAACAAATGCATTATTAACACACAAAAGTATTAAAAATTCTGTCCTTTTAAACATTTTTTATATAATGCTTAAAAAATGATAAGTACTTACAAATTTTGCTTCACTTTAATAAGATGTGTCCCTGATATTAAAATGTGCACGCTAAATGCTATCAAGTGAATGTTTGATAGAGAAGGGGTGTTCAGAAAGTAATCCTCACGTAAAGATTTTAAGAATGAAATATTATATGAATAATTTAAAGTTTCGGTTCTCTTCTTTAAAGCAAATTTTGCTTCAGAAATGAATAAATATTCACTTCATGAGAAGGGCCAAATCTGAACTTTTATAACGTTTGAAATGGTTATAGAGAATCTTTGATGCTTGTTACCTGAAGGAAATGTCGCTAAATGTATAATTATATGTTATTAAAGTAGCAAAATGTAAACAACGTAGCATTTTGACTTCAATTAAAAAAAACGAATCACTATAAATTAACTAATTGTCAAAAAAGCATCTGAAGAAGAAGATCGTTCAAGTAATTGACAATTAAGTGTCTTGTTTGAAACTATTAAAGAATATCAACAATAATATTTTAAGAAGGAAACATGAAAGCATTCTTGGTATAATGGGTCTTTAATAAATGATATTACAATTATCAATTTCTTTGAGGAAAAAAATTAGAATATCAAGCAAAACAAAATCCGGTTGTGGCTAATGACAGCACGTGTGTTTGGATGCCGCGTAGGATCATCATTGAGAATAAATTCATGCTAAAGTACAGGCATTTACAGAAAGACTAATGGACTGTTTCCATAAATTCAACACCAAATTCAAGCTTAAATGTGATTTATCAAATTGAACATGCCTGTGCTTTTACCAAGCAGTCAATGGAGATAATATAACGCACTGCACATTATTCGCATAAATAGAACAAAGCTCATTCAAACGGCAGTTTTTATGAAGTAATCACATTTAAAAAATTGAAATGTTTAGGAGTTTTAACTGAACTGGGAATATTATCTGTCCTTAACGTTACTTGGAAAGGTCCATTAAAGGGTACGCGTTTTTATCCGAGAAAGTGTCAGCAACTTTATATAAGAGTGTGTATCATCGTTGTAGGGCATTGGGTAAATCAGCGTCACCGTAAGGTACACATAGCAATGTTATTAAAATGTTCTTGTCTTTTTTTCTATTTTTATTCGCTTTGTTTCTCTTTTGCATGATCATTTGAATAGTTTTGGTCCATCTTGATGTCTCTTGAAAACTATCGGACGTGAATAACTTTTGTGCTATCAACCTTATCCCCTCTCCATGATTTTCATGTTGAGGATTTGAGGACACTTCCATGTGAAATGTACTGAAAACATCCTAACCAATGTGAACAAAGGAGTGAAACTTCATGTGCCTAACTGTGTGCATTAGTTGACAAATGATTAAATGACAATCATCTTCTATTTGTGATAGTTCAAAATGACCAAAATGTTTGGTTATCTATATTTCCACAATTGGATTATAAGCAAAACGACCACGTCACAGAAAGCGGATCGTACGAAGAAACGCTGATGTCCTGCTTTTCGCCAATGTGACGTCGTCATAAAATAAGGCTGGGCTACTACATTCCGTTTACACATGTGTTCTTCGTTCCAAACTCCTAATGGTGACAGAATTTGCATTTCTGAACGATAAGGAAGGGCATTTATTAAAAAAAAAATGCAGTGATTTCATTGGATGGCAAAGGAAGGTAAACATTTAATTGTGTTTTATTTGTTAAAGTTGTATAATTAAACCTTCAATTAATAAAAACAAATGTTTCAATTATTTAAACATAAATATATCGTCCTAGGACAATATGAGTAATATAAGTTAAATGTTAATTTATCGAATTTTATGTTATTAATATATATTGGACAGCTTTAGAAATTATATGATATGACAGAAAAAACATAAAAAATTAAAACGACAAAAAACACACACGGTAACATGCAGCTATTCAACGGTCTACAGAGGTTTAAAGGACTTCTTTTTAACACTCCCTTTTTTATGACTACACCCGAAGAAATATTTAGGATTTTACAAACTTGAGTAACTTTGAAATCACACAGTTTTACTTCTTAAATCCGCATATATCGATATGCACTACTAGTTTTATATCACACATATTTGTAAATATGTATTACACGCAAATATTATTTAAGTTAGTATAAAGCTTATGTGTACAAACATAAAACAAGAAATAGTTTATACTTACAATAGTTTATACATGATGAGAGAAAGTTTAACAGTCAAAATGATACTGACATGCATTATATTAGCACGCTTACTGTATTAATTAGATTTTTATATAAATAACTAGCTAGAACTTAAAGCTGGCACAAATCAAGAATGATTGTTAAAAGTAATATGTTTTTATAACACTAATGATGAATATGCATTTTTACGGCTGATTAGTAGCAAAATTCACTGGTGATGCGCACCGATCGATAATTTTTGATGAAAATAATGAATAATAGAATTTTCATAGAAGTAAAATATTATTTTGACTACTTTGGATAAATTTTATTGAATCAGCCAGGTGAAAAAATCAAATAAGCTCATCAAAGGGAAATAATCTAAATCAACTAGAAACTATACTCATGCAGATTACAGTGTGTTACTGTAGAGGCAAATTAAGCGCCTGCATAATATTGAGTATACAGTAGAGTCTAGAAAAAGCTGCTTACTCTAAGAAGATCTAAGTACTGGTAAATTAGAAGAAAAAAACCTTGAATGTGATGATGTTGTTCTGTACTTATTTAAAATTATTCCCTAAATTACTTTTGAACTATTTCATCCATATAAAATACGAAGCATTAATGATGTAAAATTTGAACCAGTAAGCATTTTTAAATATTTTTTCAGTGTTTAATCTATATCAGGGTTTTTTTAATCTTTTATAGCAGGGACCATTTATAGACCTCTTCCTCTCTGGAAAATACTTTTAAAATCAGGAACATGGTATTTAACACTGTTGCATGTTTAAAATATTCTGGGAAATGTGGACAGGTGTATTAAGAAATGTGCACCCGAAAATGCATCCATCGCCATCATTTTGTATCGTACAGCCCGGAACTTTGTCATTTTTTTTACAGATTACATCTTTATCAACTTTGTTTCGTCAACAGTTGGTATATACTTTGAATATCAATAGCATGCTTGAGCAGTGATAAATTGTACAATACATGACAAACATTTAATTAAACAATAACTTTAATACGCACAATAATATAAAGAGCTCCATGCTATATTGTCTTTAAAAGGTAAAGACATTGTATCATTTTCTTATAATCAGTTAGCTCAATTAGTTAGATGAGAAGTTTAACATTCACAAAGACTTCAAAACAGATTTTTATATAGCAAACTAATAATTGCAAGATGACAATTACAATAGTTAATACTTGTTTATCAAAATTCAATTCAATTCAATTCAATATCTTTATTGCATTAAACATTTTACAATGCTTATAGCACATACAAATATATACATTGGCAAATGAAAACATATCCAAAAGAGAAAAAAGCATACAAATTGTTTTAACAAATATAATTTTGTGTTAGATATTTTACAAAGTCTTGAAACAAATACAATTTTTTGTGAGTTATTTTCTTCAGGTGTCTACGAAACAATATGGAAGACCTACTATATGAGAATGATCAATCTATAAACTAAGAATAATGAAATAACCGCTGTAAGCATTATCCATAATGCTGTTGGGGTTATCTCCCATTTGCCAAACACGCGTGTAATAAAATTCTTAGCTATCTTAAATTATTTCCTTTCTTTGACTGCATGTAACAAATATCTTGCCAGATTATTTATTGTTTTGGTATGTGTGTTTGTCATAAGGATCCCCTGTGGCTAACTAGGTGACAAAATGTGTTCGAATTACTGGAGTCTTAGCTCCAGAAGGTGATTTGGTTTTGACCCTTGGTTTTGCTTTACGTTTGTCACACCCGAGGTGAGCCAAACCCATCTTTCCTGTTTCGGCGCCATATAACCAAGACTGTGTTGATGCGCCGTTAAACCAAATAAATTGATATTTATAAGGCTTAGGTGTTTCGAACTTCTGTATTGTAGGGCATCTATAAAAATATGTTTTTTTAAGTATTTACTACTTACATTGTTATACATATATTTGGGCATTTAGATAAGTAATAATATTCTAATATTCTGTTTCCACCAAATGTAATGTACAATTTCGAGACTTCCTATCTTCTTTAGAAATATCATCGTGCCTACTCTTTTTTACCTCCAGATTGTGAGTTAATTATAGGTTGTCCTATAACGTAAACATATGTCAGAATAGGAAAAAAAGTAAAAACAAGTCCTAGTCTAGGTTTTCTTAGTTTACAATAAGTTTTTGAGGAACAACCGTGTCTAGTGAGTAAAGAAATACATATCAAATTACTAGATTTGATACTAATAACGTCTGTAAGGAATTTGTTTACTTTGAAAGTTGGGCGGGTTCTTAAACTTTATTTCTTTACTTGAAGATCAAGACCGAAGTAACAACATAATAAAGGTTCTGACTTTTAAATGTTAAATGTTGGAAATCCACCAATAAAACGCCTGATATCCGTACCCCCCCCCCCCACAGTAGAAAGACAGCTGGATATCTGGATCTGAAATCTAGGATTTCACTGGCGACCATATTGATCTCCCTGCGAAAATCGTTAATACACAAAAACATGTATTGATAAATTGATAACTTAAGGATTTCTGACCTTAAACAAACATTAACTATACATAAATTAAGTTGTTGAAGTAAATTTGTCTGAAATGTTAACAATAAGAAATCTTCAATATTTACTATTAATCGGCATATTCGTTACTAAATCGGCGTAACGTTTTATTTGGGTATTCGATGATTATTTCTATAGTAATAACTTTTCCATCAAAGCGTTCCTTTTTATTTATATGTAATTATTGAAAGCCATTTGATCTCCTTTTTGTATAATTCCAAAACATTATTTACAGCATGTTTTCTATCAATTAAGGTGACAAAGAACTGGTTATGAAGCTTATATTTTCATTATAAGAAGAAAAAACAACAATTTATATTCTGTCAGCTAAATAGTGATTTATTTGATAATATTTTATCATATACTTGTACATGTTAAATAAACACAATTTCAGCAATATAATATGTAGCATAGAAACAATGCTTATATAAAAGGGTTTGCCCAAAAGTTACAGTTACAATATCTATAGTAATTCTTCTTCGGCCGAATGGTTACTTAGTAAATAATTCTTGATTTTAGAAATTTTAAGATATTTATCAGGTCAGCGATATAAGTTCCATTATATGTTATTTTTGGTTTGGAGTGATATAGCTCTATTCGGATAAATTACCTGTCATGATTAGGCGAGGGTGATATTATATCTTGGCAGGTACTAGATCTATATGCGCATAGATCACTACAAAACCAAAATGATAATTTAATTACCCTTCCCCTGCTAAGAAAGACGATTTTAAAATTAATCATTGATGTTTCAAATGAAACGTTAAAATAAAATTCCCTTTCGGGTACCCCTTCACCACAACATGACGTCACATAAATACATGAAGTATTTGCTTTCGAACTTAACGAATGTAAACAAAAGGAGAAAAGGAGTCTGTTGAAGCAAGATTTTTTGTAATTAATATCAAGTCTTGGCAAGGTCATATTTCTGTTACATACTGATGAGAATATTAATCATAACTCTATTTTTGGTAAATGTTTTTAGTTGACACATAAAAAGTGCTTGTATATCGGATTTACACTGCATAACATCAAACCGTACGCGCATCGTCAGAGCGCATGTTGTTTGCAACGTGGGGTACCAAACGGGTAAATTTAGCGTGTCTGGCTCGGTAATATCAATTTCTTTTGACGGATCAATATCTAATCACAAAGGGGTGATTTTGGAAGGGTAATAAATATTTCTTAAGAATGTAAAATATCGCTTTCTCTAACAAACGAAATAAAGAGAGATACATATTAATTAGATAAATAAGATAAATAAGAAATTGTCTAGTTGTCAATAATATTTCCACCGGAAAAGACACTAAAAACCTTGATAAAACATAAGATAATTGCAAAGTAATTCAATAATCCGTCAAAATCGAAATATATTTAACACAAGCAGACAACAAAATCAATAATTACGTATGCAACTCTTCAACTACTTTTGAAAAAATTATAAACTTCTTGAAATAATCTTATATTTTCTGCTGTTGTTAATCTTTCTATACCGTGTAGTAATTTCATAATGCTAAGAGGATGGAATTATGGAATGTTGATGACATTACCCATCTTGACTAAATGTAACATCTAAATGCTTAAGATGGTCTACAAACATAAGCTGTACATTATTGGGGGAAAAGGGAATTGGAATCTTGAAGACATGATCTCGGTTTTTGCAGTATTAAAATTAACAAACTACTGTGATGGAGTCCATGATGTTATTGTGTCAAGGTTTATCATTTGGCTATATTAGTACGTAATATAATGGAATGCATTGTTTCGCAAGGTCTAAGTAATTCGTGTAGAGCATTCAATAATATAAATCATATCGGTACATCTTTAAATTTATGATTTACTGATCTTCAATAATATCCCCTACAATACAATGCAATCCAAATAGATTCAGGAAGTAGATATTCTGAGATCTTGGTTTTATGAGAGAAGAAACATAAACCTTTGGAATGACATGTTGATGCTTTACCAAAGACCAAAAGTTGTATATTACTGTTGCGAAAACTTTCATCTTGCTTATTTTCAGTAAGACACAAAATATCAACATCTATAAAATCTATAATATAGTCAAGCTTATTTCCTATGAGAGATTTCTTTATAAACACATGGTCCATGGTTTAAGGTATTACCATCCTAATGCATTACCTCCGCTTTGAAGAGTATTCAAATAGGCTAACACTACTGTTAACTACATTGAAAATGAGGGCCGTGAGTTCAATCCCCAGAAGGGTCAACTTTTTTTCTTTCTTTTTTTTTCTTTTAACATTATTTATGTATCTCTCATGTCCCATTTGGAAAGAAAAAAGTGTTTAATTTTGATTTTTTAATTTATATAGGTATTTATTGGCTAAATTATGCTAAATCAAGTAATAAATATGGTAACTGATATTTTCAAAGTGTAATAAAGTCAAAAGTAGACGGTAAAAGTATTTCATATTTTACAAGATCAACCAATATACTTCTTTAAAAATTTAGGGAAACTTTGAAAACAGGCACTCATTTGGGTAAATTTTAAGGATTTTTTAAATTAGGCTCCCTAAGTAGGAAAATGGTCAGACACGTGGTAAAAATGGGTGGGTAAAGGTAACATTTTAATACAGATTTCATAAATTTTAAGTAGAAATCATAATTTTGCTTGTGTGGATTGTTAGCTGAATGGTACTATTTGTTTCTTACCAAAAATTAATGGGAAATCATTTTCATTAGAATGTAATTGCAGATTATTTAAAGGTTCCTCATTTCTAAAAAAAGGCCCACATAACATCCCAGCTTGAGTTCAGAAAAGTGGCCATACTTTAAGGTATATATCTGACCTGTGATGTCAATTTTTTAGTTCCTTATAGTGCCCATTAGGGTGGTGATACCTTAATTAAACGCCGCTAAGCATACTCATCAGATATAATGTAAAGCAAATACTTTATTTCATAACATTCGGAACTTTTAGAATAGACTCTATAAATCAATAGAAATATGAGTGCACTCTTTCTTTAAAATTGAGAAAGAATGAGACAGAATTTAACAAAAAAAAATTGAAAGTGTTTTTCAGTTGATGAACAAAAATCAAACATAAGATAAACGTTGTCATTTTAAGCGGTGAACATTATATACAACAATTATTAAAATATCATTAGCCATATATGTGTATAAGTCATTAGAAATATATCAGCGCACATCAATATGGTATGTGTGTAGACCTATGATAATTGAATGTGAAGCGAAGTGACAAATATATCTATCTACATGGCAATGAGAAAGAAAACAAAACAAAAACAATCACTATCAAAGAAATATAAATGAACAAAAATAACGTATAATTTGATCTTGGTTTAGGAAAAAAAATCATTTTGAGTGCATTGTTGTAGGTAAATGCACGGTTTAAGTTCAAAAGCGCATGAATATAATTACGAAGGCCGATAGGCCTGAGTGATTACTTACAAAGCATTGGAACGATAAATCGTGCATTTTTATACCACAATGCAAGAAAAATTAATATCTATTTCAATTCTAACATCCCAAAAAAGAGAATTGATAGAAATATGACGAATTATACTTAGTGTAGAAGTAATTTCCTACATCAATTGGTTTATTGACGTCATATATGACGTCATATGAAGTGTAAGCACTCGTTTTTTATGTTGTGCATAAATCGTATAATAATGCACTTAATTATCCTGGGGAATTTTGTGAAGCGTGTTAGAATATTTATTAACAGTAGCGCTTTTAATATTTAATGGATTTAATAGAATAGATTGAGGTAATATGTAAACCTCTTTCTTCAATTAATGGAAATATTATTGTGAGTACATTACTGTATATAGCCATAATTCCTGTATTCTTATTTCAATTTATTATAACAAAAGTTCATTAAATAGAAAATAGTTTTAAAAAGTATATCTTATATAACTAAGGAAATAGACAGTGACGACTTAAATAAAAACAAAACACTTTAAATCGATTACAATCAACATATGTACACAATAAGTATATATCTTTACAAGGTGACAAATGAAACGTACCCCTATATTACACAAACATCATGCCAGCTCTGTAACATATCATGAATTATAGTAAAATGGTATGTTAACCATAAAGCTTATATCTACTGTATGTCACAATAAAGTGAAATAAATGGATATAATAATTTAAAGAATTTAAATAATGTAGAAAAGTAAGTAATTTTTTATCAATTTCAGCTAAGGAACTATCATTTAGATAATGTAATGTTCGCTTTTCAGTATAGTCGAACAAAATATCAAAGAAATATATATTTATCATCAACTCTTTAGCTAAGGACTATCTTTATATAAAAAACAATGACATTTTATTTATGACATGAGTGCTATGATATGCGTCACATGACTGACCATCATCGCAAAGTAACAAATATCAAAAAATTAACAAAAGAATATGTGCAATCATACACTTTTTATAAATTCTTAACTTTGATTTCATATTTTACACCAGTGAAATCCATTTTTTTTCATTTTCCTTTCTCAAATTTCCAGCTCGTTAATCTAAACATGGAATGACTGTAGAACAACGTCTGTGAGTAAATGGAATGTTTGTTTGTTTGCTAGTACTTCAAAAGTTTTCTATTTTCAAACTTGCTATTTTTTTTTCCATCAGTGTAGGTGTTGAAGACAAAGGCAAATATAAAAGCGATAGATTCAAATTATTTTAAAGTTAATATGATTGTTTGCTTACTTTTTTCTGTCTCTAACGCCAAGATCGAAACCTAATATCTCCTTAATTGAATATTCGTGTCAATTGGTCTACTTTGGTCAATAAATGTAAATAATATAAAATATGCTAATATGTATTAAGGCGATATACCCTTCACTCATTTACAGTAATATGATAAATAAAATATATGCAAATGAATATGATTATGTTAAACAAATTATTCTTTCCAAACATGTAACTGCATTTATCATTATCTGTTCTTTTTAAAATGATTGTCACTCATTATACAAAATTAATAACTTAATCATCAGATGAAAATCTTTCATACACCCCAGCCAATACTGGACCAACAATAGGAATGAGGCTCAGCATGGTTTTAAACACTGTTTGTTTCATAGCAGGTTTGGCCTTTACAATTTTGTAAGATGAGCTTTGATTTTCGAGACGTTTATTAAGTTCTTCTTTTTCCTTCATCGCACTTTCTAAATCTTTCTTGTCTGTCTCATAATCTGCTAGTAATTTTGCATACTTTTCCTCTAGTTCTTTCCGTTCCTTCTCTCTTTCAGATGCCAGTTCCTCTTTAAAAGCCTTCCATTTTTCTTCTTCAGAACTTTTCTTCAAATCTTTCTTTTGAAGTAGTTTGTCATTTTTTACTGCCAACATTTCAGCGTGTTTCTGAATTTCAGCTGTGTAAAAGAAGTTTTTCTTAATAATCGAAATATTCTTTATCTATAATGCGTCAAGAATAAAAAGTGAGACCTCTAAAACAAAAGACAATTTTATAACTTTACTTTTGAGGATTTATTACAGAAAGCTACAGGTGATTTGTTAAGCCATACGGATCATATTCTGTCTTGAATTTATACATGTATATTCTTAAAATATCATGTTTTATCCATTCAAATTCTATGAATAATTTTGAGTCGACTAGCTTCTCAGTTACTTCCAAATCAACTGAAATATAATCACTCTTACGGTAATTATTGCTTATTTATCTGTTTATATAAAACAATATTTACATATATCACAGTACCTTCTATTTGTAATCCATTTATGCTGGCCTTCGTCCATATTTTTTCATCTTGTTTTCTACATCGGTTTTCAAACTCAAGACAACTTAACTTAAGCTGAAATTTTCATAGATTTTACTTTCATTTCAATTAGTACATTTAAGAGGCACCTCTAAAATTAACAAAAAAAAAATAATATTGAAGAATGCAATAAATTTACTTTGTAATAAAATAAAGCTTTTTAAATGTGTTGCAAGACTTATTTCGATTTTTTCTCTAATGCAATACGTACTATATTTTTAAAAAAAAAATTAAAATGTAAAATATCTTACAACGTTTGGATTGACTTCGTGTAGACTTTGTTTGATACTTTCTCTTATTATAGCAAAATCCTCTCTATATTCGGTATAGCCCGCTGGTTTAAGATATGTTCCATTTGCGACTTTTGGCTTAATCAATTTGTCATACATGGACTGAAGTTCTTTAGCGCACTTCTGTTGAACATGGATATTATTTTCTACCATCTGTTTTATCTTAAATGAATCCATTGCTCCCTAGAAATTATAACAGATTAACATTTAGACGTGAGAAAACATTAATATAATGAAGAACACAAATTCAAACAACAAACTATTTGTTATAAAGTTGATTTCAGATGGTAGGGTAGGCGAGTGAAAGGTTTTTATTCAAATTAAATGGCTTAAGTGATAATAACATGAAATTCACACACTATGTTTCAAATGAATTAAAATATTTTTGGCTTTCAAATCATGAAACTGAAAGTGAAATTGATAGGAATGTCTTAACCTAAGACATAAGTCTCGTGAAAAAGGACTCTTTTTGATACCTTTATTTGAAACGGTTATTGATGTCTCTCAAATAACAAATAATAAAATCTTTGTTTATCAGTAAGTAAAATATAAGCAAAATTCGGATAAAAATTACTATAATTTCATAAGTGTGTATTCTATATTTACGTTGGTGTAATATAGATATCTACTTATGAAATTTGTTACCATATATTCAAAAATTATGAAACCGGCAATTGATTTTATCGCATGTTTTCGAACGTTTTCTTTGTTCTTACTAACCCATTATACTCAGTAATGTATGTCTTTTCTATATCTTTTTTTTCTTCTTTTTTTGCGGCAGCGAAAACAACTTGAAAAAACTGCCTTTCATAAATAGCTGTTAGTAAACAAAACAAAAACAACACTAAAAACAACGAAAAGAAAGCATTGTGCCATTGCGATAAAACAGTTATAGTATATGAAACTCGTTGGCCGGGCGACATCTCGGGATGTTTCTGCAAAGTTGTATCGGCCTTACGGCCTCGCCATTTTTTTTAGCAGAAACACCCCTTGATGTCGCCCAGCCAGTGTTATATCCTCGTAACTAACGTCTTTCATATACTAAAAATTACACAGAATAATATTCAAATTGACGTCATAGTTTATCGAGCGCACATAGTGACCTGTAGCCAACCCGAACTGTATAATCTAAATAATTGAATTTGAAGTCAAATAAAAATGGAAAGTGGTGAAATATATATTTTATAAGAGGTTAGCACATTGTGTAAGACAGATAAGGAAGCCTAATAAGCTGCATAAATGGTATTATCCCTATTTCTATTTTCGTTTTATAATTTTACCCTGCTACAAGTTCTGTGAATAACTGATTGTTGATAACGTTATATCATCTTTAGCTCCAGACGTTTTTTGTATTCAAATCAGTTATAGTGAATATTTATTTTGTTTAAAAGTCAAAATACCACATTTGCTTTCTTTCTGACAAATTATTTTACATTCAGCGCTCCTTAATTCTGGTGATAGGATATGATATGTTTTTAATCTACTAGTATTGTAAAAAGTAATTAGACACGTGCTTGTCCTTTCCTTTACAAAAAGATGTTTTAATATTTCTGAAACATAATAAGCCTTTAAAACTAAATTTTACTTCTGCCTTCTTTTGATATTCTTGTCGACTATCCAGCACAGATTTCTTACGAATATGTTTAAGGGCATCACTTTGCATTTGTTGGTATTTTCCTTCAAAATCTGCAGGCAACGGGACTCCCAAAGATTTTATCTGCCGTTAACACATGCCCACAGCTTCTTCCAAAGCAAGTTCATTTTCCTGTTTTGCCATTGTTGTGAAGGCATCATCAATACACGGCATTTTACCATTTGCAAGTGAATCTGTGTACTTCTTAGTCAAAGAGGCAAACACTGGAACAGATAGAATTATTAAGAGGGGTGACCTCTCGGAAGCAATACAAATAACAAATAAATAAATTTGATATAATGTGAACAATTCAGACTTGCTTTAAATTGATATATTTGATAGTTGGTTGTCATTTTATGTTATGATCTTTTTTTTAAATTTTGACTCTACTTTTTTAAAGTTCAAGCAAAGAAAATAATTTAGAAAGATTTCAAAGTGAGGTGATAACACTATTGCAAAAACATACTTCTTCCATTAATAGAACTGCCATCAAACATTTTTTTGGGTTTGATACTGAGCAAATATCGTAGAAACTTTTTTGTGTCTGCACGAAAATCTTCACTCAGTTCTGATTCGTGAACTTCCTCTAATCTGTCTAAGATTTTACCGTTTGATACTGGGATTCCAAAAACAAAACATTTTCTCCTTGGAAAATGCTTTAATATTGATTTTTTTATTTCATTGTACTCTTGTGTTTTCGTCTGTTTTACGTCCGTTTCTACAGCTAAACTTTTTTCAAAATATGTGTCTGGTGTTTCATTTTCAGGGATGTTAAGTGTGAAGTCACGCAGACAAAGAACAAACGTAGGAAAGACAAAACCAATATCAAGAATGTGTTGTGGTATTTCGTCACTCATAAGTATTTTGCCAGATAGTTTTGTCACAAACCTGTTTTTTTGTTAAAGAATATAAAAGAAAGAAACCACAAGAAGCTCAGTAAGGATATAAGGTCATATATAGACTACTACATAATAATAGAATACTACATAATAGAATTTATCTTAACTAATAATAAGGCTGACATTGGGTTGTCCACAAAGTTTTATTAGTACAACTTTCAAACATTACCAATTAGCCCTCATGAAAGCGAATGCATTGAGTAAGTTATATAAATATGTTTGCAAATGTTCTGTGTACAAAAATATTTATATATAATTTTTAAATACAGACTATGGGAAGATTGAGATTTAAGTAACTTCCAAATAAGATAATGATAAAATTGTTAAATAAAAATTCTATAAAATTGTAATATCATATATTTTTACAAAGTATAAATATTTCAACTACTGGATATTTATCTTGTCTTACTTATTTATTATTTTTCAGAATACTTCCGTAACATTATAAATGTGAAATTTACATATTTGTTGTATTCAAGATCCTGCATAAAATGGTCTTAGCCAGAACATAGAATGACTATTAATTTATGACGGGGTGCAGTTTTTTACCAATCATTTAAAAAAAAAATTGTTGTCTTTTGTACAAAATTTGCTGTCAATATGAAACTTCATATGAATCAAACCGAGCCTGCAACATTTTCAATTTTGTCGTGTTGAGCTTTCTTTAGGGATTCTTTATTTATCTTTTTCAGCTATATCTCACTTTTAACTTCTTATTCTTATTTTTATTTGCAAAAGCTGTGAAAGACAGCCGAAAAAGTATTCAAACACCATCATGAAACACTTAATACATGCCCAGAAATAGTAGATTGGAACAGATTGTAGCAAAAGAGTTTAACTAATCGTTTGAATTTTTGCTGCACCTGAATTGTATTTTTAAATAAAATATCTTAAGTACTTAATATTGTCTTGATTTTTTGGGTTAAACTCTTTGTTTTATATCTTAAAATTAAAGTATGGTAGGTTTCATTTTATATTTCATATTATTGTCATAAAGAAACGTATAGGAGTGAGGTTTGGGGCGCGTTAAACCAGTTTTAACTCCCCAGTGGTGTAACTACCACTGACCGTTCCAAGTCTGTACCCCTATGTGTTCATTCCCGTGTTATACATGTGTGTATAGTTACATGTTTTGAATGTTTGCATGTTTTGTGATGTCAACCTGGTTAAATTGTCTTTAACGGTAAGTATTTTCTTTCGACCCCTACCCCGTTCATCCAGATTTCCCTTCCCCCGACTTTCCCATTGCACACCTTATTTCTTAAATTCCCATTTGGCCCCCTTATGTTTCTAATTGTTTCACTTATTGCGTTCCCTCCTCTTCTTTAGCCGCCACTGTGTCCTCTCCAAATGCGGGTTTGGTGTCTTCGGAGTGCCCTGCTGATGTGGTTGGGGTGTGTCTGGGACATTTGACAGAAATAAAAACTCACACAATTGATGAATATGTTAATTATTTAGTAAAAACATAAAAACTGTCTGAGATATAAAAATACTGAACCTCTCTTTTTTTAATTTACGGTAACATGATGAATTTGGAAGGACATTGGTAGAAATTTTTAGTGTGTAACATAGGTGAATGATTATATTTATGATTATAATTATTTTTGGCAAAATGTAAAATAAAGTTAACTTAATCTGCACACTCGCTTTTTACGATTGGATGGGCATGATGTCACTTTAAGGAAAACTTTTTCTGTCAGTCAAATATGAGAAAATGCAAAAGGATACGAAAGCTTCTTCAAAAGATCGTGGTTTATAACTCCGATACAGTTATACACAAATGTTCCACTTATAAGTATAGCTAGACAAAGAATGTCATTGTCATTCTTTTCATCGCCCTAAAATGTTTAAAACATTAAATAACGTTATTTTGTATGAACAAAAAGGACACAATAATCAAAGGAATGTGGTAAGATTCTTTTCTTTAACGAAATCTAACAATACAAGGCAGTCTGAAGGACAGCTAAATCCTCTTGCGCAGCGGACATGAATGTGTATTTCTTGACTTTTAACCAACCATAACTTTCATGTTGTGCCATGAATATCATAAGTACATTGCTCAACACAAAAGTCTGTTTCAGTTATTGAACAAATAGCTTCCAAATTCAAATGGATACATTTGTAAATCCTCTTGGTCTTGTTAATCATGGTTGATTTTAGACGTCCTATATTCACATGTTTCTAACGTATTTGGTTGCATCATGCTTCAGGTAAAATTGCTGTTTCGTGGGATTTAGTGATATATCCTGTTTTAACTTAAAATATACTACTTAAAGTTTGCTAAGCACCAAGAGTATTTTTGTACCTCTCTAAGATTGTATGTCAAATATTATATTTATTTCAGTTCTTATATATGACATAGTGATTAATAAACCTCAATAAGGAATTTGATCACATTCATTCAGTACACTGCACTGTCTCTCCTTAGTTTCAACAGCAATGTTTAGTTTCAATATGATATTGATAGTTTAAAGATCAGACTTCCTCTCAATAATCTGTATCACTGTGTTTAAATAAAATTACTTCAGTACTTTTTCGAGTTAGTCTCTCCAACAAGAGTGGAAGACGGAAAAACAAATGGACGGACGGATTGACGGACAACGCGCGAAATAAAAGCTACCATCAGGGAGCCTAAGAAATTAAATATGTCTAAACCCGTGCACCATTAAAAAATCTTTATAAGTATAAGTTTCTTATACGAGTCTTTAGATGATTTGTAACAATCGCTATCAAGATTATATTCCTTTTCGAAATGTTATGATATATCTGGAAGAATTGGATTGCACATTTCTTTCAGATAATTTGATATTCTGTAATTGTTTGCATCTCGGTTAAAATGAACGTTTGTAAACTTTAAACACACTATTTGGCGTTAGTACAATCATAGTTCAATAATTGATAATAAGTTATTTTTTTCAACTAATGCACTTAAAATGATAAAGTGCATGTTGCCTTCGATTTAATGTTTTAGAAAATATCTAATATTATTGAAAAAGTAAGTATGTCTAACATTTAATCAAACTACACTTAAAATCTATCCTATCTTTAATTGTTGCTTGTCTTTGTTCTTGCAAGACGTATGTCATTCTTTTTGTGTCTTTTTTAAATTGCAAGTTTACTTGACAAATGGATCACAAATATTTATGATTACCTATGTCTGTTGAAGTAATTTACCTTTTTAACATCGCCAATTCCTTCAGTGTCAATAAGCATCAGAACCTCATCTTTTCGTTCTGGATGTTCCAAACACCATACCCACAGCCCTTTTGTTGTTGCGTCAGTTGTATTTCCAAGAGGAAATCCTTTCGGTTATTATTATGAAACATAGTTATAATTGTATTGCAATTATTTTTAACGTGTTTCTCTTAGACAACGGATCTTAATACTGCAGCTGTTTTGTGGTTTTCTTTTTTAAAGTTATTTGTGTTATACAAAACATATATCGCATGTATTATTTTTGTGTTTGATTGCACCAAACGATGTGCGATCATTTGTTTCACGTTCACTTATAAGCAAAATATGAACCTATCTGCAATAATTAAATGTGATTTTGATTAAACGAATGATATGTATGATATATTTAACAATATTAAGGATCACGTGTAAATGTGTGACAGATATGATTGATATTATCTATCATTCAAATTGCAACATGAGAAATTAATATACATCGTTTAACGCCAGCCAACATATTCATAAGGTAGGATTTTCCGGTCCTGTACGGCCCTGCTATTGCAATGATATTAACAGTGTCCTCGATCGTCGATATTTCTTCCATAACGCTTTCAACTGTTGACAATACATTGTTATCATTCCGTACCAAACAGAGAGGTTTTTGAAATACTCTTAAGTGTCCATATTTTGAACTCTATAATTTGCCAAACATAATATATCACTAATAAACCTTATTCATTAAAAATTGATGACATGCCTTTAAATCAAAATAATTAACGTCCGTCTATTTTGTTATTGATATGATATACATGAAACATCACTTTTTTCTAGTGTCTCTTATTTTAACCTGTATGTTTGCAGCGATGTAAGCAACTCTTAAAAATATAAATGTAATACCAAAATCTCACCGTACATCTTTGTCGTCTGCTTTTCATACCCATTCTTGAAATATTTCCGTTTAAATCATTTGATAGACTTTTATTCCATAAATAATGCTAACAAAAAGTATATTTTTAAAATTAATGTGTATAAAATATATGCATAATAAATATATCTCTACTAAAGAAAAATTAAAAATCAATACGACAGTGTTGCAGAATACAAAGTTTGTTTCTGTCTTTCTATTTTTCTGTTTTTACGCCAATTTAACACATTATTTTGGTTGATCTACTTAACCGTCTTTTATCATGTTTTCAACTTCTCCGCAACTGACCAACTACTCATCTCACATGATAGGTGAGAGACAATTATTATTAGACTCAATGTACGAAATCGGTTGTCACAGAGAAATTCGCCTTGCCCCAATATCGAACTATTGACCCTAAATTCGATGCTCTTCCAGTTATGCTAAGCGGAGCACAAAATACAAAGTAGCTTTGTTTAGGTTTGTTAACTTCTCTTTCAGGTCTTTTTATAAATCATTTACATCAACCTTACCTTTGCATTTAGGCTTTATTCATACGATACATACTGTTTTCAAATGCTTTGTTTCCATCACTTGTTTTGAAGACGTTTTCGAATCTCTTGCTAATTTTAAACTGTCATCAAAACCAGACTGCAAGCGTTGAACACGTTTTTCATTCTAAATACATTGGGTATAATCAGAGTACAATATATTTGTCTACATATTAAATAATCGGCTTACTGTTCTTACTATTTTAATAAAACGAACAACCAAAACTATAGTGTATTACTTTTCTTCACCTTACATCACATTTACTTACATTACTTCACATGACTGATTCATTAACATTTTATTACTTATAAAGAAGTACTTTTAAAATCATTAAAATATCTTTTGTTGGATGTAACAATGATGTAAAATGACTATGATAATTTCTGATAAACTTAAAATAAGACTCCAAAATGATTATATAAAACATATTATAGAAAGAGTATAAAGCTTTTTTGTTGCCGAATTATTTCAATTTATATGTTATATACAGGGGCTTCCGTGGTCGAGTGGTTAAGTTCTTTGGCTTCAAACCACTTGCCCTCATAGCTGTGGGTTCGAATCCCGTCAGGGACTTTGGATTATTTCTTGTGAGCACGCTATCCACCTAGCTTACGGAACGTCGGTGGTTCTACTCAGATGCCCGTTCGTGCCTGAAATAATGCACGGAAGGGCACCTGAGGTCTTCCTCCACCAGTAAAGCTGGAACGTCGCCAAATGACCTATACTGTGTCGGTGTGACGTAAACCCCCAATCAAATAAACAAATAACAAGTTATATATATGTTTATAAGAATTTTCTACGATAGGCCTTGAACATTTTCGTTGAATAATATGATGCATTTGAGTGTTTGATATCTTGTTAGAACGTAAATTGATATCAAAGTTAAAAAATTACACCTATATATATATATATATATAGGTGTCATTTTTTAACTTTGATATCAATTTACGTTCTAACAAGTCGATAAACCTGATATAAAATATTATCCAAATAATATATTAAGTAACAACATTTCGTTATATTAATGTTTAAAGTTCCTTACTTAGTTAACAGGTTGGTAAGTAATGTTTCTCGTGTTTAAAACTTACCAGTAAGAGTTCAATGTATGAGCTCAACCTTACAGATATGGAAATATGACCAGAAGGTTTTTTTTACGAACATGAACTCCTGTAAATATTTGACTTATACGTTTTAAAACGAACGAAAAAATAAAAAGTAATATTTTTAAAGAGCTGATGTTTGAAATAATGTATTTAAAAATCTATTTCTATGTTTACATTTGACGCTTAGACTTATTAGCAAGAATACCTTTGGTGTTGCATGACTTTTTTCGAACATCTCCACCCTTTTTTTTACAAACATCTTCTCATCTGAAGTACTGTTTGATTCCTCCTCATTCATCTGTTCGAATAAACAACAATACTGATTGAAGGTTTATTATGCATTGTTATATTGGTAGCAAAGTTAATAGGAAGGAATTTTATCTATGACTTTCAGATTCTTATTGTTAAGCAATATGTAACAGTACTGATAATGTTGGATTAGTGGATAAGACTACTATAATAGTCAATGATAATTATTTCGAGTAGCTTACTACATAAAATTCAATTATATCTATCTATTAAGTTATTCAATTTTCTTTTCTTTTCAGTCTTTACATATCTTCATCATAAACACTAAGATTGTCCAAATTATGTAACAATGCTTGATAATAAACGCTTACCAACAGACACAAGATCATCAGGAAAAAAACTTTCAAAATTATCATTCTATATAATATTACTTTAATTAAAGAGTTAAAAAGAATAGTATGTTACAGGATAGAATAACTACAACTTTTGGCATAGGTCTGTTAATTAAATATACAATGTAATTGAATATAACATAGTTGTATAATAACTATACACATAAGTTAAAGAAAACACTATACAAATAAGAATCTGAAGTAATTTTCTCCTGTAATAAAATAGAAAGGATGGAAAACTACCGTGTAAACTGTATTATCACAAATTATCAGATCGCATGAAATGTATTTCTTGCAATAAAAGTGGCAGAATTATGTGAGTATTGTAAAGTATAATGGGCCCGTGACACCACGACGTTTAGTCAATGCTATCTGAACGTTTCAATCGTTCAATTTTTGAGTGTTCTAGAATGAGGTTGACGAATCTTGCGTGTGATGTGTGTCTAACGCACAGCTAGCGTGTGTCTTATGCACGAGAAGAACATTGACCAAGTAAGATAAGTAAGATACCCCTTAAACTTAAAGGCGTGTGCTAACGTGCCATTGGCGCGTGACGAACTATTTGTCAACGCCAGACGAGCGTTGAAAGTATGTGACTAGCGTGTGAAAACGACAGTAAAGCGTCTTACTGACGTGTTATTTTTTACGGCCGAACGGGTGCAAAACGCTTGAAATTTGATAGTAAATTATGTCCGCCTCTGCCGCCTTGTGCCCTATCCTGTTTGTGTTTGGGATCCTCCTAAGCCTTTTGCTGCAGGTCTCTGTTGCTAGGTCATGTGGGTGTTGCGTTCATTGAAGGCCACCTTTCCTTGTTAATCATATTTCTTGTATTGTCAGCTTCATAATGACAATGCAAAAATGGTGGAATGAGGACTTTTCCTACTAGCTCCTGCCAATTACTTTCGCCATTCCCTTTATAAAATCATGATTTATTCCAACACTGCAGTCGACTTTGTCGGGGTTTTTCTTCTCTGCGGGTGAGTTTCCGCGATGTTTGCAGCTTTGTTTAAATTCACTACTGATAAAGCCTACAAAATCTTTCAGGATCTTTCATAGCAGGTGTTCTCTATGGTAGTCCAAAACAAAATAAACCTTGCTTTTCACATATTCATGGACATTCTTATTACGTTAGTCACACGGTTTTTGTTCAGCGGTCGTTGACAAATTGCCAGTGAGTCCTTCACTGCAAAGCACACGATTAGTAACAACAAAGTAGCGATTGAGTAACGTCTGACTTACGATAGCCGAACGTATGCAACGCTCGGCGAAAGTTAGTAAAACGTTCCATGGCTGTTCTCAAACGGTCTTCGGCGTTTGGAAATTAAAAGTTGAAGAGCGCTGGTCTGAGTGAGAACTTTTGTGCATATTCAAAACTTTTCTCTGGACAAGCGTTCTCCGCCGGCTCCCGGCGATTACCGATATTCACTGGCGTTCACACAATGTTCTTCTGACACTATCCCAGCAACCATGGGCGACAACCAACGTTACCTCAACGTCATAGACCGATGACTTGAACGTCATGGTGTGACCGCCCCTTAATCAAGGTAAATGCCGTCGGCCAAAAGAAGAAACATTAAAAACACCGAAAAGTTCTAAGCAAGATATTTAGTTAACTGAAGAAGATTATTGACGGTATATAAAAAGTTCCTATGTAGCTTTTAGCACTGTCAAAATGATTTTACCTTTTCTAGCTTACAGTTATTTCAATGGACGAAAACCAATCGTGCACATAAATATTTGGCAAAAAGACTCAATATATATATATCTTTGCACAAGATTGCGATGCAACTCAAAACTTAGCCTCTAAACAAGTTGAAAGTAGAAATAGCAACTAACATTCACGATGTGGACTTTGCCATTAGGACTTTTTCATCGACACAAAATCAATAACTGTCAGTAAGTTTATCTTCAATAAATTGTTTAATATGGAACCCAAACTTCTATTATTTCTAAATAATATGTATAGGTGATAGCCCCAAAACTCACAAAATTATCGTTTGTTATAGTTAATGACTCTAACATTATTATAAAATATACTCACTCGGACGTGTGTTTACATTTTTAAAAAACACCATTACTCTATATACGTTCAATCATGTATGAAGTGAGGCTGACTTGTAGGGTCCTCCTGGGCTCCTTGTTGCTGGTTCTTGGTGCTTGGTCGTGTGGGGGTTGCGTTCATTGAACGCCGCCTTTCCTTGTTGATATTGTTTATCATATTTCACTGACATTTAATGACAGATCCTTAGTAAATCGCCATGCAAAACCTTTACATGTGTATGAAGTGAGGAGTAGTCAGTGACATATAATGACAGGTCCTTGGTGAATCGTCCTGCAAAACCCTCCAATTTTGTATGAAGCGAGGCTTTCCTGACAAATAATGGCCGGTCCATGGTAAATCGTCCTTTACAACTCCTCCACAATGTTTCATGATTGAAGCGAGAAATCACTAACATTAAATGACAGGTTCTTGTTAATCGTCCTGCAAAATCCTACAATTATGCATGAAGCGACTGAAATAAAATGGCCGGTCCTTGGTGAATTTTCTGTACAACTACACTCTTATGTATGATTGAAGAGAGACTCCACTGACATAAAATGACATGTTTTTGGTGAATGGTCCTGCAAAATCCTACAATTGTGTATGAAGCGAGGCTTCACTGACATACTATAACCTGTCCTTGGTGAATCGTCTTGCAAAATCCTACAATTATGTTTGAAGCGAACCTCACTCACATCAAATGGCCGGTCATTGATGACAATTGGTTAATCCTTACATTACTTTTTCCAAGAAATTTGATTGGAAACGATGATGAAAATACGGTAGTACGATGATGAATCTGCGATGGCATGATATAATTTCCCCATGGTGTCATTGCATCATCGTGATTTTACGATCATGCCATCGCTGCTTCATCATCGTACCATCTTGTTTTCATCATTGTACCATCGTGCATCGCGGTTCAGAGAGACAAAAACAATGTTACTTTTGTCCAAACGGAACAACTAATCGATTGATGTTTCAACGATACAACGCCCCATTAAAGCAAAAAGGTACCAAGCGACATTTTGGCCAAAAATGACTTTTTAACATTTTTCATTATGTTTTAATGTTATCTTTAATCTGTAGAAATATCTCTATAGTATCATGTTTATTTACAGACATATAAGGCTATGTAAAAAAGGTACTATGTCAATATTTTCCCATTTAGTAATGCAAAAAGGTACCATATGGATATCAGTTTGAGCAAAAAGGTACCAAGTGTCACATAGTACCTTTTTGCATTGTATGACTATATATGTTTAGAGCATTTATTTTAATGCAAAAAGGAACCATGTGTCACATGGTTCCTTTCTGCACACAAAGAATTTACGACCCTTAAGAGATTATTTTATATATTAAATTGTTCGCTTGGTACCTTTTAGCTTTTTAATGAAAATACAATCTAGATGTTGCTAAGGACATCAAATATAACAATAAATCCCAGAGTATTGTTTCTGTTTTCAATTGAGGAATGATAACAGTGCGAAGATAATGATAGTGTATAAATGACTTCTTCATAAAAATGTGGACGTAAAAAGAAAAGTAATTGACTGTACTCTTGCCAACTATATGGAAGGAGAAGCATGATAGGGAAGCGTACATCTGCAAATAAACTAGATTATGATATAGTTAAATTGGTGAAACAGCATAAAGAGTAATTTTCTAAAATGAAATCTCATTATACAAGAAAAAACTGAAAGAAACAATACCTATCTCATGACTATGACTTAAACATTAAAAAGATGTGGAAACTGTGAACTATTGACAGTAAATAGAAGGAAATAAAACCTGTTAAGCACGAACATATAGGAAGGCAGTAGACACACTAGATGGCACGATCAAGGAACGATATATTGAACATCAAAAAAAAAAACAGAAAGAAAATTCACAAGAAGAAAAGATTTAAAATGAAGTTAGAGCAAAAGGTGACACATGCGTTTATGTTGCATGTTTTGATCTCAAAGCTGTTGTAACAAACCCTTGCTCATTAGTGAGTGAGCTTTACTATTTAAGAAAACTCTGTTGCTACACAACTTGACAGTATATTTCTTATGAGACAAAAATGTTGCAGTCATGTATGAGATAAAACCAACTGCAAAGAGAGGCATGTGAAATAGCTTCCTGCTTAATAAAAACCCCTTTTCTACTTGCCAAACTGGTTATGTCAAATAAGTCATTTATTTTTCAGATTCATAAGGGGGACAAAACAGTAATTGATCCGTAGCTGCGTCTCTACTTTTATATTATCACAAGTTCCAAGTTCAAGATTGATTACAAATTTCTTGTATCGGGTCATTCACAGATGGAGTGACAACTTGACTCTTGAAGGGGCAAAGAAAATAATTCCTGTATAATTATGTATCATTCAGTTGTGTTTTCTTATATCACTGGCCAGAACTTCACAGCCATACATTGCTGTGCCAATGAAATATAACCATGTTTTTGCTTTCAAATACTTCATTAAAAAACAGTGTCCGAGACTCTAAACATCCATTGACAAACAAAGAGTTAACTGGTTACAAGTGGAATGGATACAGGTACCAAAGGAAAGCCCAAAGTCAGTATTTGTAAATTAGAGCTTTAATGCTGAAGATTTTAAGGAAATAAAAGTTCAGAATACAGAATCTAAAGTATTAGTGGACAAATGGTGAACAATATATGAAATTATGATAACAAACCTCCAGTTTCTATTCAAAAGAAAAATAACTTGGTTACTTTGTGTGCGAAGAAAATTATCCAAAAAGAGTTCCATAATTATAATGCCACTTAACCAACATAAAGGAAAGAAAAGGATTATGTCACAATGTAATCGGATGAGAATGATTGTGATTTTTTCTAACAATGTAAGAGATTTTGATATCGGCATTGAGATTGGTTACAGAGGAAGACTTTCAAAACATGAAGTGTGATAGTTGTATCAGACATTAACTGAAAACACAAGAATTTCATATTATTATTTGTATCATTGTAGAATAAAATGGTAACCAAACGATGCTTTTTGTTAATATTGTTGGGACAAAAAGGTGCCAACTGCCATATGGTACCTTTTTTGATATATTCGACAGCAAATGTTAAAAATCATACAATGCAAAAAGGGGCCGAGCGTTCATATGGTACCTTCTTGCATTTGTCAGTCAAAATATTTATTAGTGCAAAAAGGAACCATTTCCTTAAATTGATTAATTATCACTAATTAGTAATATATAAGCTTTGCAACTTTTTGAGCATGTACAATCAAATATTATCTAAATATGTGTGAAGTTTCTTTGCCATGTTGTAAAAACCTGATTTGATATGGAACTTCAAATCTTTAAACGCGATTTTCTCGAAAACATGAAAATGTCACTTGGTACCTTTTTGCTTTAATGGGGCGACAATATCATGACCTGTTTTGCATCTCGCTGGAACCTCACGTCTCGATCCGTATCTCGTGTTTCAACGCGAGACAAGGGATCCTTTGAGGCCATATACCACTGAATAGTATTACCTTTATTATATAAAAAACAAGAATAAAGATCAACAAGGCAAATGTAACGTTCACAGGACACAGCCCCCCGAAATTAAAAAACTGACATTTTTCAAAGAGCTATAAAAAGGTCCCATTTAAGAGAACAGATCCTTATTTCACTTTTACAAAAAAACATACGGTGAGGTCTTCTCATTTTCTTCCTTAATCATTTAGGGGCATCCGTTGGCGAGAGATTTTTAAACAGCCGCTGTATTTTCGACACCAAAATTTATCAAATGAAAAACAAGAGTGCATTGCTTTAAATTAAGAGCTTCTAAATTCCAAACACAAATTTTTGTTTTGTTTGAAGACTTTTTTCACGCTTTTTTACATAATTTATTTCTCGCGGTTAATATTAAGACTATCTACGTCAATTATAGCATTTGCATATATTAGACACTTAAAATAGTGAAATAAATGATATTTAAAAAAAAACATGAAAAAATGTTCAAACGATATCTGTCTATGAGTTATGACTTTTCAGTTATAATTTAAAATACCTTTTGTGTTGCATTTTTTCTTTTTCGAACCTAGCCCGTCTGTCTTTAAAAGAAATTGTCTCATCCGGAACATCTTTGGAGCCATCCATTCTGAACACAATTCTGACCAAAATGTTGTTGTTTTTGTTGTTGTTTTTTCTGTTAAAAGGTCCACACTTTTGAAATAAAATTACTCCAAATATCAACCTTAAAATATAGATACCAAAGAGAATAGATACATTGGTCTGAAATTTAAGAACTGATTTAGCTAGTCATTGAATTGATTCCTACATGCATAAACAATTGAAGATTATGCTGTCTCAAGCTTCTGTGCACACAATAATAAGTCAAGATATTAATCTTTTAATTATAAAGATAATGTCTTTCAAAATAAGATTTAATGACTAGATAGATACGAGGGTTATTGTTTTACATAACATTAAACCCTTTAAAATCGGCTCTTGTTACTTGAAATTTCTTTATTTATACAAAATAGGCCTGAGTTTCCGATGCACATCAAATAATCTGCACTCTGTTATGGACAGGCTTGAATAAATTGTGTATTTCAAATATATACTGCTTACTACGGAATTCTATAAACGAAAGCCTACTGTTTATTCTAAATAAGACATACCTGTGAACAATTAGGATAGTCCTTCAAAATATTCACCATGGATCTCTACATACTTTTCAAGTCTCAGAATTCATTCTGGAAATGCATTTTTGAAATATTCGTTGGGTTTACTGTTTTAGTTCTACCTTCCTTAAACATTGACACCCACATAGCAATTATATGATATGAAAGGGCATTTTATCTAGATAATTTTTTATTTCTGACGCGCATTTAGCCAATAACCCACGACCTTTTCCTACAATCTCAAATCACGATGCAACTAAGTCATGTTTACAACCATATGTATTTAAATGCCTGCTAAATTTTCATTGAACGTGCAAATCGTGCGAAAATTGACTGATGGCTAGAACAAGCAGGTATAGTATATATGTACTCTGATGATAAAACATATCAAGTGTACTTTTTATAAAAATTCTTATTTGCTAAATAGTTAAACTAATGCTAAGAAATTCTTTTTAAAAAAATGGGAATATTCAGGAACAAATTGGAATTTTTGCCATTTTTTTTAATTTAGAACAGACATATATTCAGCAAAATAGATGTAGAAAAGTAAGAATTATGTTAACATTTTAAATGAAAAACAAGCCATGGTTAGAAAGTTTTAGGCTCTTGTAGGTTAATTGTAAAAAATGCCTCTTTATTGTATGACAATGTCTATAATATTATTTTCTTATTTGTCATTTACAGTTAAACTTCGTTCGCTCGAACTCGGATCGCTCAAATACCTCCTTTCGCTCGAACCCATCGCCTTGTCCCGGCAAAATACCTTTATAATATATATGGTTCTACCTCGGATCGCTCGAACACCAATGATCTCTGGTCCCTTCGGCAGAAATATAGTGTAAATCACACCTTTTCGGTCGAACACAATCAGACAACAATAGTTGCGGGTCGACATGTTTTAAATAATTGACAGTTGGCAACACATGATTTTAACAACTCGTGATCGTGACAAAGGCAATTAAGGTAAATCAGTACAAATAAAAGGTGTTGTAACCGATTTGTTTGTTATGAAAAATTTGTTAACTATAGATGGCTGCAGATTTTAAAAATCCAAATCTTTAGATACAATCCTTTTTTAAAACAAAAATACTCTCTTTTAAACAATTTGAAACCCAGTGATAATAATCGGAATGGCGTAAAAAATTAAGTTAAACGTCAAAGATAACATATTATGTTATTTAGGCTGTATTACTTCATGAGAGTAACGAGTCTTTATTTCGTCAAAAGTTACAGGAAATAAAACTTGTCTCGTTAAAGCCAGAACAAATATTTTAAAAAACCATGGTTTGTTACCTAATAATGTGAATCGTCTAGAGGCATTTTATATAGATCTTTTCAAATTGAACTAGGAAATGATATATTTCAAAATGTTAATGTTGAATCTGAGGATTTTGCCTCAACTCATGATTTCAACTTTAGTGATGATGCTGACGACTTTTTAGATCGGCCAATATCTGTTAATGAAATTATAGATGCTGTCAATTTCTTGAAACGTGGAAAGGCTTACGGACACGATTTTCTATTGAATGAATATTATATTAAGTCAATTGATATGTTGTCTTCACATTTATGCGATATATTTTATAAAATATTTGATAGCGGATATTTTCCGGATAATTTGACTGAAGGAGTAAAAATAATTCCGTTACACAAAAAGTGAGATGAGAATGAGGTACATAACTATAGAGGCATAACTTAAGTTAGCTGTATGTCAAAAATATTTACATCTATCATAAATAAAAGAATTTATAGCTATTGCGAAGAAAATTGTTTACTGTCAGATGCCCAGTTTGGGTTAAGAAAAGGCAAATCTACTGCTAATGCTTTATTTGTTTTATCTTCTATTGTTCAGAAATATATTAACGACAATAAACGTTTGTATTGCATATTTGTTGATTTGAAAAAGGCTTTTAACAGTGTTTATAGAAATGCACTTTGGTTAAAATGACATAAACCTGGTATTAGGGGTAAATTATTGCGTATTGTTAAGGATATGTACAATAAAGTTAAATCATGTATTAAAATATGTAATAGTTATTCAGAGTTTTTCGAATATGCTGTAGGCTTACGTCAAGGGGAGATAATTTCGCAGGTTTTATTTTCTCCTTTTATTGATGACATTGAGTTTATTTTTGCAGCATGATATAAATTGTGGTTAAAAGTTAAATGATATCATTTTAATATTGTTACTTTTGCAGACTATATGGCCATTTTAGGAAATTTACCTGTGGAAATAAACAATAGTTTAGTTTTATTACACAATTACAGTACAAAGTGGTCTAGAGGTTAATGTATATTAGACTAACGTTATGGTTTTTAGGAAGAGAGGTGGTTTGTTGTCCTCTGAAATTTTTTTGTATAATGACAAACACCTAGAGGCTGTAAATGATTTCAATTATTTAGGTACAGTTTTAAATTATACTGACAATTTTGCATTAAACCAGGAACAGCTTGTTGGTAAAGCTTTGAAAGCGTCAAATGTATTACTGATAAACTGTAATAAATATAAGCTGAAACCGAAGTTATTATGCCATCTATATGACTCTTTTATTGGATCAATCTTAAATTATGCAGCTGAGATTTGGGGCCACAGTAAGTCTGAAGAAATTGAAAGAATACATCTTAAGTATTGTAAAAGAATATTAAATGTAAATATAAGACTTTCAAATGCAGTTGTTTTTGGTGAACTGGCTTGTTACCCACTGTATATTGGAAGATATGTTACGATAATTAAGTATTGGTTTCGCTTACTTGAAACGGATAACATTATAATAATTCTTAAAGAAGTGTATAATTTGTGTCTCGGTGATTGCAGTAACTGTAAAAGTAATTGGTTAACTAAGGTAAAAATTTATTATATCATTATGGTTTTAACTATGTTTGGGATGATCCTACTTTTGTTAACAGTAAATCATTTATACCTTTGTTTAAACAAAGACTGAAAGACACTTTTATTTAAAGTTGGCATGTTGATAAGGAGAACAGTGGTGTTTTAACATTGTATACAAACCCTAAGAATACTTTTTTGTATGAGCCATACCTTGATATACTGCCTAGCAACCTAAAGTTGTAAACCTTACGTTTACAAACAGTTAGGTATTGTACGAATAGAGTTGCTAGAAATTAGCGTTATTGTACATACTGTAATACACAGGACCTTAAAGATGAATATCATTTTATACTTATATGTCTATAATAATATTAGAAAAAATATATTAAACGTTATTTTTATATCAATTCAGGTGTAATTTAGCTTGTAGAGTTGTTAAATGCAAAAAAAAATATATTATTTTGAAAAATCTTGCTAGTTATATTAAACTCGCATTTTCTCATAGAACTTATATTACTTATAATTAAATATAGTTCATCCTCTCAAAATATGAATTTGTGATAATGTGCTATTTTCCATTGTGTCATCAAATCATATGAACTTTTTATTTATGTATATGTATAATGATTTTGTACTTATTGTAAAGTCTTGAATAAACTGTTTGTTCTGTTCTGTTCTGATCAAATTTTATAATTGCCGTCTTTTGAAACGAAAAAAAAAGAACATAACCCCTGAAATGCTCAAATGTCAATTAATAAATGACGTTTACCCGGACGGCTTTAATTACAACCGTGGTTCATGTAACGTGAATTGTGACAGGGTATTAGAACTATTCATATAATGATACTTGTACGTGTGTTTATATTAGTAAATTACTACAAATAGATACTGCTGTAAAATTTTGTTCTTTTTTATATTATATTAATTCACTGTTTAAAATAAATTCATCCCATAATAAACATATAATATATTTTGAATATTGTTCACACTTTTGATGATGATTGCCCAATCGAACTCAACCAATTACAATATGCATGAATATAGATTAGCAAAGTGTACCGTAAATACTGTTTTCAATACGATAATATTTCTTAATATGAAGTATTCGTCAAACACATGTAGAGACGCCTTTCAAAATTACTTAAAATATAACGCTGCATATCATTACAGACCATAGGTTATCTCTGGAGGCAAAAAGCTGTCTGCTAATAGCCAAACTTCATATAACATTTAGTTAGAAAGGAGTCAACATATTCTTAAAAATAACCTTGTCTTTGGATTTTACTCATTTGAAAATGTCGGATTATACTTCTAAGCTGTCAGCAACTGATTTAGTTGTTTATTTAGATAAACTAACCATTTCTGCAGACAAAAAAACTTCCAGATCCTTATGTAATTGACAAAAAGTCTTGGATAAATGATCCCAAATAATGGCCAGATATTGCCTACCCTGATATCTACAACTATTTGTTAAAAGTAGCAATTACTACTCAAATGAGCAAATGAAATGCTACAAATCTATGGATGCCTACCAGTACTTTGTATGTGGACATGTTAAGCCAGTTCTGTTCTACGACATAGGGATTGAGGATACTACTAATGTTATAGCTGAAGTGTTGCCAAGCCAGCGACAGAGTACAAAAATGCATTGTTCAAGACTTACCTCATATTGAGAAAAGATGGTCAGATCCACACAACCCATTGTACCTGTTTGGCAGGGTAAGTTCAAAAGATTATAAATTTTTATTTATATGTTTTATAGCAATTTGTTTAATCTAAGCTGTAACACAAGGCCCATAAAAAACATTTTGAG